AAATAGTGGTGGAAACACATGGATTTAGTTGCATGTGGAGTTGGAAATACCAGTTGTCACCTTTTGGCAGGAATAAAGTTTATAAAAAGACAGGTTTTTTATTAAACTGGTCTGTATTTTTCAATATGAATAGATGGCTTGTTAATTTGCAAGAATTGTGAAACCCCAATTATTAATGTGAAACTAGTACTAATAGTAGTACTAGGAGTGTATGGTTCTGGCCAACATAGTAGTGCCTCTTGTTGCTCTGGCACACAATGTAAACATTGAAATCCCCAAAAATGAGATTATTGTTACTACTACTTAAATGATAATTACAGTAACATCCATTTTGGAAAGCAGGTATTACAATTAGGGAGGAGGTTCAGTAAGCAGTACTAGAATCATAATGATAAATTCAATTTAGTATGACTGTGTATTGTTCCCAAACTTCCTTGCTCTTGTGCTTCTTCTGAAACTGAGGGAAGACTGTCCTCCTTCTGCAGCCCTCATACTCCAGAAAGTTCCTCCTGTCTTTCTTGTCACTAGATATTTGAGCGATGAGTACTTCTTCTTCAAAGAAGCTCCTCAATAGTACAAATATCATTATTGCTTTGAATGGTACCAGAAATAGAGAGCTCTCATCTACACCCACCAATATCAACATACATCAAATTAGCAAGGATGGAAACCAGTGGAAGCATCATTATCTATGTATCAATTTCTTGTTTTTGTTGTTGCATACCACATGTCATTTATTGTCACTTGCCTGTATCCATCTTCCTTTCGTTCTAGTGTTGTTGACACTACATACTAGTAGTCTCTTGTCACCAGCAGATTGCCTGCCACAGATTGCCTGCCACCAGTTTTGTTCTACTAACAAACTAGTTGCTGCTGGAAACAACTAAATGCAATGAAATCTTTGTTTAAAGAATGCAATGAAGAATCACAATCAACCACATGACATGAAAAAGAATATCATATTGACATGGCATTAAACAAAATACAAAAGCTATCCTCTACGATCCTGGTACTATGATGTCTGCAATCCCAGCACTTTAAGGGTTTTTGATATTTTTACTTCTGTAGGAAGTTTTGTAGGAAGAGCAGATTAAACCACTCTACTTCCAGCTCATCATTTCCCAGCTGATTTTGGGCATACAATTGTTACCATCAAACAAGCTAGATGTCACTCATTTCAATTTCAATAAAACCAAGCAATGAAAAGTCAAGGTCACCATCAACAAACCTACTGTGCTAAATAGTTTTACTCCATACTACTAGACACAAGATGTACTGAGAGATGTACTTTATGGCGCAATTCCCCCATAACATGTGATAAGAATAACCCACACAAATATCTCAAATACTAGCTGCTTCTGCTAGTAGCATGGACAAAGATGAATTCACTCTCAACATTTGAGACAATGGTGATGAAAATAGCAACAACCAATATACATACTATGATGATAGCAAAAACACATACTAAAGAGAAGAAAATACTGATCTACCAGCTTCATGACCAACAACCAATGAAACTTCCCTTTCACAAAGAGAGGAGGGAGACAAGAAAAAAAAATGCTTCAGTGGCCTAGTCAAATCATGATCCATTTGATACAATAAAACTGACACAACAATTTCAAACAAATTTGGTGGAAATGGTGGAAATACTACTGGTATAAGTATCAGAACACACCATGATACTACTATGATTTAATTGGCACCAATCTCTATTGTTAAAAGATTATGTAAAATGAGCTCAAGACAAGAAGTCTTGGAATTTTGAAAATGTTTGAGTTTCATCCTTGCATATTGAGCTGGGTTCCAGTAACTGACAAACACAAATCAGTGTATGGCTGCTAGTACTGCTAGTACTACTACTACTAGTAGTATTAGTACTAGGTATTTGTAGCTAGTAGTAGTACTAGTAACCCTTCCATAATGTTTGCTATTTTCTATGACTTTCTAACTAGGAGCATGGCGATAGTAGTACTACAATGAGAGGAAACCTACCACCAACACTTAATGTCTGTTTTGACTTCTAAACCAAAAATGAGTGATGATTCTCCTGTAGTAATTATTTTTGGATGCACATGTTAGTAGAAGACTCACCACCACCTCCCTGAACGCAGTGTTGCTTCTTGGGCATTGTATAATGCAATGGACCACTAGAAGCATGGACAGCCATGTACTTTCCTGATGTATAATGGAAATCAAGAATTACACACTGAAGAGGTCAGACTCATAGAAAGAAAGAAAGAAAAAATCTGTATTTGAAGTTGCTATTCTTGAATAAAGAAAAGATGTACTATTACTACTAGTAGGTCATGAAGATGCTGGGTGGAATACAATGGGTTGCATCAACTACTAGTAGTACTATGCAGATAAGCACCAGCAGAAGTCAGAAGTACTGAAGCTCTCTACTATTTATTTATTAGGAAAACTATCATATGAAGTTAGTAGTGTTTAAATCTACAATACAGTTTTAGATTTTGGGCCCTTATTTTGTGGGTCATAATTACTTTGAMAAAGTAAACTTGACAGCCATGTGCAAAATGCATGTGCTCAGCAGTACTAGTAATGTTGAATTTTTAATTTTTAATCCCACCAGTTCTTTTGCATGCATGTGCTATTGCTGTACTGGTAGTACATTTCAAATTTTTAATCCCATGGGTTATTACACAGTAAAGAGATGGCCCATTATCTATGCATCCTGGTATTTGCTTCCAACAAACAAGGGTACAGTGTCGATCTGTTGTAAAATAAAATTTCAGACCTGACTTTCACAAACACCAAGCTTGGCACTCATGTCCTACTACCAGCAACACAGTGAAGCCTTCATTCTCCTACTGACAACACGACAACCATAATAGTATTCAGCATCCTTCTTGTTGTTGTGAAATTCCCCAACAAATTAGAAGTCATCCAGGACAATATTTAGTACATCAACATTGACTTTCTTATTTCAACACTGTGCTTATTATTGGTGAGCCATATTGTGGTGTTTACTATTAATGCTGGTGGTGGGTCCAGGGCAGCAGCACAGTACTACTCGTACAAGTAATAATAGTTATTCTTTGTTTCCCCCTACTAGTAGTATCAACTAGTACAACTACAGCTACAACTACAGTGTTAGTGCTACTACTAGTAGTATTAGTAGTTCTACTCTCTTAACCAACAAGAACTACAAAATCTGAGATGGTAAATTCTTGATGGTGCTGGACTCCAAGCAGTCTTCTTATTGTTGTCTTGTTGGTTCTTGGTACTAAGATCAAGCTTGTACACCAGCAGCAACATCAAGAGGAAGGGGGGGGGCTTGAACAAGATTTTTTTGCCGGTGGTGATGGTGGTGACTAGTATTAAAAAAATAGTTCTGTTTAACCTCATGAACTAGAAGAGAAACTACTAGTATGTTGGTCAGACGAGTCATTACTTCCCCTTACTACTAGGAAGAAGAATGATCCTCCCAGCTGCTCCTTGGAGGGGGAGTGCCTCCCTCCCAGGAGGTTTTGTGGAGGAGCAAACCAGGTTCTAGTAGGCATACTGGTGACAAGAAAAATTAAGGCCTGGGGCTGGACTTGTGATAAAGAGAAGGTGTTGGTTCAAAGTTAGGATGGATCAGATCCATGTCATGATTATTCCCAAGTGCACTGTCAAGCCAGAAGACAAGTCTCTCCACAGTGAGCAAGGAAACAAACAGGTGCCAAGCACACTGCCAAGCCAATTAAGGTAAGCTCMCTACAATGTAGTACTACTACAAAGAAGCAGGTGGTGAAGTAGTCATAAAAAAATAAAAATAAAAAAACAAAAAAACAAAGAAAGAAGCCAAAAGAAAAAAGAAAGAGAAATACAGCCCACCAATAAACCAACTTGTTGGTCTTGGTATAATTATTTGTCACTTAGCTATGCAATCAATGGTTCTTGTAACATTGATATTTTCTGGAGGTGGAAGTATCAATGGTTGTAGTCCTAGCACTACAGGAGCAGCTTCCTGTGTTGCTTCTTCTCAAAGAAGTGATAATGGAAAACCTTACTAATGGTACTAATGCAAGCAGGATGCTGTTTAGATAGGAGGACATGGGTAAAGAGGCTGGGGATAGATTTAAAAGATCTAGATTGGGGCTATGGTGAGTGTTGTTGCTGTCTGGTACAGATGTTGGTGGAAACAACAGCATTGTGACCAGAATCATCTTCCTGTCTGCAAGAAATAACAATAGTACTAATAATAATTGTTGTTCCTTGTTCTTCTTGCTGTTGTTGTTGTTCTTGTTCTTAGTCCTCCTCGTCCTCCTCATCCTCCTCATCCTCCTGCAAATGCTGGTGTTGGTGCTGGTTTTACTAGTTAGTACACATTAAAAATTAAAATAGTTCAATCATACTAGCTTGCAGTAGCAGTACTAGTGTTAAGACAGGATAGTCCTACTACTACTACTACTACTAGCGTAGTACTCCTAGTAGTAGTAGTAGTAGTAGAACTGGCAGTACGTTACGGTTCGTGCCGTACTATCTACTATCAATGCCTCCGATTACTTGCCCTTGAACGAATTGGGGCGGGTGCATTAAACCTTCATTTCATTTGTACAACAAAGGGGGTCCAGATCACAATCGTCACAAAACGGATAGAAATTTCTATGGTGAGCACACGTTGGCACGATAATGTTGTTTCGGAATGGGAACGACGGAATGACAGACATACCGCAGAATCCAAGTATCGCCCTCACGTTTGTACGTCGCCCGGAAATCAATACGTACTTCAATCCGAGATGTGCGTGTAATGTTTCTACATAGAGTCTACACAGCTTAGAGCCGAAGGTGTCAACGACCCACAACTTGAGACTGATCCATGTCAGCGTCTTCCTGTTGGATGAGCATGGATCCACCCGATTGTTCTGTAGGGATGACACAACCACGGTGCGTACGACGGTGCTGCGCACAGTAGAAAGAGCGGCAAAGAATTTCTTCCTCGATCCCGAGCGTGAGTTAACTTACATCATCACCTCATACGTTTTTCGTTGTTGTCCCGTGGTTCTTCCGCCCCTCTCAGATCACCCAACGCGCTCCCTTGAAGCTACTACCGTAGTTAGTTGTTAACAACCAGCTCTCCTTCCAACAGTAAAAGCTGAACAACCTAATCTAGGAGTCGAAGGAAATCTAGCAGCGACAAGTCCTCTTCTACAACTTCAACACAGGCAATTGAGAAGGGACCTACGCAACAATTCAGCGTTGTCTTCGAAGAATTGAGAAGTCAGCAACGAATTTGTTCGAATCAAACTGTTAGCCGAAAGAAGCAACAACTCAACAGCATCTCCGTTCGTTGAGCCTCAGTCCGAGTATAAGATTCTGAATGGCATAGTCATGCGGAGAATAAATGTTTGTAGCGTCTCCTGTTCCATTTGGATGTACGGGTTAGGGATTCTACTACTTTCTGAGCAGAATCCGATCGAGGCTTTGAATCATTATGGCTGCACAAAAATCAATAACAAGTTAAGGCCATCAGTGCTCCCGTATTCATCGTTGCTATTTTATACTCCACCAAAACAAAGAATACGATCAACTAGCATGACGAGGATCCAAAGCATGACAATAGACCCCGGAGCAGGTTTATCTGTTACACCGCAAGACTCTGATGAAGAAGACGACAACGACGAGGAACAACAAGGAGATCACCAACTCGATCTTCACCATGTCAACAACGACGATAGAGATGGGTCAAAACCTTTCATGACTTCGTCCTATTTAGCTGCAGTCTCACCCAAGGATCATCAAAGACGGAAAAAACGAAAAAACAACAAAGCGATGAAAGACATCTCCTTTCTGCGGAAGCGTACATCAACCCTACTCGCACTTACCGAACCCGAAAGCTATCTTTCTGGACAACAGGAGGCCCCTCACCAACAGGCTCATTTGAGCCGAGGAATGAAAATCAATTTAAATACATTTAACTTTTTGATTGATGGGTGGGCATTTTCGGGAGAATCGGACGCTTGTGACAAGGCGATGATCTTGCTCGAGCGCATGGAAGAGATGTATTATAGGTACGGCGAGGACTCTCCGGTTTGTCCAGACGTTCGCAGCTACACTAAGGTCATCAATGCGTTGTCTCGCTCGAAGCACCGGGACTCGGCAAATTTGGCGGAACAACTCTTGTACAAGATGGAAGCAATGGCGGAAAGCGGAGAAAACCCATCCGCGAAGCCCAACACATTCACCTACACCGCAGCGATCGAGGCCCAAAGCTATAGTGGGATCAAAGGATCTCCTGAAAAGGCCGAAGAGTTGCTTGAAAAGATGATCCAAAAGTATCAAAGCGGCGACCCAGATGTAGTTCCAAACGCCCGTTGTTTCAACGCCGCCATTTCTTCCTACGCCAAAAGCGCCTTGCCCGGCGCGGCGCAGCATGCGGAATATCTCTTTGAGAGAATGGATGGGCTCTACATGTCGGGAGTGGAGGAAGCAAAACCGAATTCCTTCAATTACAATAGCCTCATTACAGCCTGGGCCAATTGTCGTGATCAAGAAGACGAAAACGGCGTATGCTCCGCTCGCAAGGCGCAGGAAATCCTAGAACGCATGGAACAGTGCTATGCCGCAGGCGACGAATCCTGCAAACCCACCACGGTCAGTTACAATGCCGTAATCGATGCCTACGCCAAGAGCAAACAAGAAGAGGCTGCCGAGCGGGCCGAGCAAGTCTTACGACGCATGGGTGCCCTTTACAAGGAAGGAGCCGACATACAGCCCAACACACGGTCTTTCAACACGGTAATCAACGCATGGGCAAAGAGCGGCCGGGCGGATGCAGCCGAAAAGGCACAGGATCTCCTCGATTTCATGACCAATCTCTACGAGGACGGGAATGCTGCTGTCCGACCGGACGCTCACTCCTTCTGTACGGTCATCAATGGTATGTATTTGCATGCTTGGGCGTTTCCTATCTATGAGTCGATGTTTGTTCGCAGACACGATACTTTATGTCTCGTAGTTGCATCTCGTTTGTCTATCCTTGGTTTGGTTCCATCACTTGTACCTAGCGATGTCGATAGAGGTTTTCTACCCATGTGATTTTTATTCGATGTTTCTTACCTGTTCTCACTCAATTTTCCATTTTACTTTCGACACCTTCTCATACTTTGTACAAATCCGCAACCAACTGCAACAAATACAGCCTTTGCGCGTAGTAATCAGCTAACGGACAAGGCCGAGCGTGCAAATAACTTGTTCCGGTCGATGATGGATGCCTACGAGAAGGATCCGAAAATGAGTCACCTGAAACCAAACGTGGTGGCTGTTAATGCCGTAATGAACGCTTGCGCCTATACCATTCAGGGTGACATAAACGAGCAGAATCGCGCTATGGAAATCGCTCACAATTTGTTGAAGATTTTGGAAGACTCCGATTACGGTTCGGCGGATCAGATCACGTACGGAACCTTCTTGAAGGTGTGCGCCAACCAGATGCCGGACTGTGCTACCCGACAACAAATCATGGAAGTTATATTCCAGAACAGCGCCCGGGATGGACAGGTGGGGAACCTTGTTATACAGCAACTCAGGGCAATGGGACCACCGGAACTGTATTATCGCTTGACTGGCCATTACATCGAAGAAGATATTCGAATGGAGGACCTCCCAAAGGAATGGTGGGTGAATGTTGTAGAAGGACGATGGAGGAAGCGCAAGCACGACGACCACCGCAACAACTAGATCAACACCCTGTCGAGTAAGTGATAAAGAATATAGTTGAGTCCTTGTTCTTGTTGCACGCTCCCCATCTACAACACCGATACTTGGATGCTGTTATGATTATATACAATACTACTCTTAACTCAATCTATAATCAGTGAAATTATATTCCTACGAGAGAAAACAAAACAACACATAACAGAAAGTTTCGAAACAAAAAAGACAAGTGAAGAGCATACTATTAGACCATTGCGTACGGACGACAAGGCACCATTCCAAACAACCTACTACCACCCAACACACGCAAGCGTTCATGCATTGGTCTATTGTCACCAACGAACTGCGACGACCACGGACATCAATAGTGTTAATATGTATCCGTGGCTCGCAACCGACTGATCGCTGCGCAACCTACAAGCACACACCACCATAGAAATGCAAAAATCAGAATCGCAATATGTAATTCACACACTTTAGCCAGGCATGCTAATAATCTTATAGTACTATTGTTATCATAAGTGAACCTGCGGTCGAAGCCCGGTCGGTGTGTTTTCGGGCAACGCTACACACTCCCTGCAGATCGGTGCGAAGCAACTCCAGCTTTTTCGATTGGTTTGCATTGATCTAAATGTTGTTGTAGAGCAGAACAAGACGGGGCATAGTTTTCATGGTTGATTTTCTCCGACACAACAAGCGCCGCCAAGGGATTCGTTTCAGTTCGTATCTTTTGTTGCATCGTCCTTTTTGCTATTTGGAAGTATTCCATTGGGGTTTTATTGGATTCATTCGAGGAATGTTGGCTCCGGCGAGCAAGGAATCTCACCGGGGACACAAGCCCTTTGGATTTTTCGAACGGCCCACCCGTTCGAGGCTAGTAGGCCAGTAGTCCGGTAAAGTGTGTGCACTGGATTCCATGCGCTTCTCGTTTATTGTACGATGATGGTACGCGTGGTTAGCCGTAGTAGACAGAGAAGATGATGATCCAACGGCCTGTCGAGAGCTGGGACGAATTTTGTGGCTTTTTGGGGTGGTGCGGTCGACGAGAGTTGCCGATTGGTTGGATTTTTCGGCCTGCCAGCCGAGCAACATCCCCACGGCATCACCGGTGTTTCCAAGCTTCGCATCCAGTCCCTGTCACCGCCTTGCAGGGAGTTCCAATCTGCCGTCGTTCGATCCCGTTCTCAACCGGGGCCGGGCCTTTTCGAAAGACGCCGCTGTTCTTCGAGGTACCGTCGCTGTGCCGCTCGGACCCGGTGTCGGGCCTCCCTGCAGCGCTGTTGTTTCTCTTTTCGGCCGATCGGGGCACCAGCAACACCATCGTTCGCGAGCGATGGCGCCGGGAGTCTCGTCAGGCTCCAGTTCTTCACGTCGTGGGTGAGAGATTCCACCACATCGGCGGTGTTTCCGAGGTGTTCGCTCAGGACCATCCCCGGAGTCGATGCCGGTGCACCATCTGGGGTAACAGGCTGCAAAGAGCGCTCTTGTTGTTGCTGCTGCTCTTGCTGGTGGTGTTGTCGACTGAACCACCACCGAAGAGGAGGAGGGGAGAAACTTCGTTTCGCGCTTTCGTCGTTCGTTGCATTTCCTATTTTTGTCAAGGGATTGGTCCTGTGTTCCCCCCGAGTTGTTGGTGGAAACCGGAGTTTCTTCGCGACACGATGAACTCCAAAGCAGTCGTTGTCGTCTTCCTCATGGCAATTGTGGTTCCCGTTCCCTCTCTCGCCATGTCTTTGAAGATTGCCATCAACCACCGACAGAGGAACGCCGTGAATTATTCCTTCTACCATCTTTGGAAAGAGCTTGGTGCTTTTGCACTTCGTTCTAATGGTATAGGTATAGGTATAGGTATAGGTATAGGTATAGGTATAGGTATTGGTATTGGTATTGGTATTGGTATTGGTATTGGTATTGGTATTGGTTTTGTTATTGTTATTGTCGAACTTCGGACCTCGACAAGTGCTGTCAATGTTGGTGATTTTTATTGTTGGTGATTTTTATTGTTGGGATTGTTGGTACGAGTACGGTACGTACTGTACGGTACGGTACGGTACGTACGGTGCAACTGCGTTAGGACAGGTACGATACGGTACGGTACCAGGTAGATGAATACAGTAGAACCCGATGCAACAAAAATGTGACGTGTGACTGAGCCAATCATAAGGCTACTCGTGGTTCAGAAACTCGTATTGTATTGTACCTTCCGGTACCTACGTATTGTACGTATGGTGATCACAAGAAACCAATTACTTCTAGAAGGAAGGAAGTACCGTACGTACGGTAGTATTACACTACTTACAGTACTGTATCTAGGACTGAAACAGTTTCTGTATCGATGGATTCATTTTTCATCTTCACTACTACGCTACAGGTGGTAAACCTAAAGTCGTACAAAGCAAAACTACCGGTAAGGGTGTATTTGTAGAATGAATACAGTAATAAATACGTACCGCTTTTAATGTTCAATGGCACCTTGCGATTGCGCTTGCTTGACGACGTAGGTAATGATTGATTCGTTCGACTAAAACCAAACAAGCAAGCCGCATTACGGCTTTTCGTAGTGGTAGCTGGTAGACCATATTTTGTACGTACTGGAAGAGAAAGTATCAACCGAAAATGCAACAGCCCACAAGGTAGAAATTTATAATTAAAAATTATATGGCGAACATGTTCTTCCACGACTCCAGAGATTGACTTAGCAACGGCGGACAACGTAGGAATGTTCTTACAGATACATCCCTTTCCATTGTTTCCAGGCCGAGGCTATTCGAAATGAAAGCGAATTAAAAGGGCAATAATGCTGAGTCCTACATTGAAAATTATTGTGGGCGCACAACGATCTCATGATTTCGACAATCTGCGAAGCTCTAGGGAATTCGAAACAATTTTTTTGTCTAACAATATTTCATGCGTTGTGCCCCCAGAAAATGCGTGGTTCGTCGCACCACAACAAGGCCACTCATTATATTCGTCGAACTTTTGACGCCGACACAAGCTGCACGGAACTAAGGTGATAGCATACTCCCGTGGAACCATAATCACAGCAAAATGGCGGAAAGATATTACGCTTAGGTTCTTATCATTTTTGAGAACTTCGCACCCAGGATTTGACCGAGATGGTTGTACCAGTGCAGTGTCATGCCAAACCGTCGGAGCGCGATGGATTGTGTTACAGTGGAAGAAATGATAGTGACGCTGTCTTGTACTAGATGATCGTATTCCTCTCGGTAGTTTGTATTGCAACTCGAAAATTGACAGGCCCTTCTGCCGATTCATTGTTTCGATCGAGTTAAGCAGCGAGCAAAACGTCAAGAGGATTACAATCATCTAGTAAACCACAGTGATGTAGGCAGTGCGGAATCGATTGATCTGGTCATACTTTGACGTACTGTCGAGTGTGCGTACGCGTGTGTATGTGTTCATCGGAATGCGTGTGGATCTGTGCCTGTAAGGAACACTCTGTCCTGGGATCCAGGGCAATATCAATACGATGTCTGGATGTCGTGTTTTTGGTGTTGTTTGTCTTCGGCACTGAGCTAAGTTGTAATTGACCTAGAGAGACACATAAAGTGCTTGAAATATCTTCCCGTGCCGTTTTTCATTTCATTTCTAAAGAATCCACAGGATCACAAACTGAATTCCTTGTCCGACTGAAGATTGACCACGCAACTGGATGGTACAGATTGGATTATCCGTGCGCTGGTAGTTCTGTCTTTCCCGTTGTTCTTGCAACAGTGGGAATAAGATTTGGATGGCCAGAGAATCTACGGAGTTGTTCAGTATAGCTGTAAATGCACATCCATTTTACTGGCGAAGAGTAGAAGAAGCTGCACTGAGATTATGTTATGAATTGATTACAAGTACTGTGCCAGGACATCAGTTCTTCCGTTTGGGTTCCAGGCACTTGTGCGTGCGAGAGAAGGGACGACAATACGAATCACCCAGAGCTACAGGGTCCAAAAATGCGGTCAAGGACCATACACCCAGCTTATCATAATCACTCGTTTCGATGTAGCCGTACGAACGCTTTGTTCATAATTATTCAAACGAAAACAGTACACAATACCGGCAATAACTACGAAAGCCACACCACTCAATATTACTAGTATTACTAGAACAGTAGCAGTACCAACAATAGAAAGCGACTGTCGTCGCAACCTCAACTATCACGGTTCCAAGCACCACAGGGTTTTGTTGTACTGTTGCACTGGCATTGGCTGGCATTTGGAAAAGAAACGCGATCTACGGTACCGTACGGCAGGAATCACTGCGGTACGTTAGATAAATAACTTGGGTCATACGAAGTGGAAGTACTACCGTACGAACGACTGCGGTAACGTTCTTCTATTACTGTACGTACATACGATACTTTGTACTTTACTTCGCTTCGTTGAGTTGTTCGTACCGTACGGTACGTACCAGTAAAAAAATTCGATTGCCGTTGATAGTACAAATGTACGCAGGAGTAGTAGTGAACAGCAGTAGCGATCTGACCTGAACAAAGATTCATACGGTATTGTACGGTAGGTATGGTAGGAGGTGCGCAAATAATAAAAAAGTACAGTACAGTAGTGTACGTACCGGTACTGTAGTCGGAATATGACGACATCATCATCTTCAGTCCAGTACGTACGGACCCTACCCTACCCCAGGGGTTGACCCCTGCCCTACCCAACGTACCCGTACTGCAAAGAAATCAACGATGCAAAAAAGAGAATCCAAACAAAACCATGGATTGTTGCAATTTTTGCATACTTATAATATATATTAAAGATATGAACTAGGAGGGTACAAGCCTCTCAAGCCTCTCAATTATCAAAAGAATCATCGGGGGACAACTTTTTTTCAAGTGACTAATGCGAACATCAAAAGGAAACCTCAGCGCAACACAACTGAAGAAGGAAAATACTTTCTGTAAATGCTTTGTTTGGTAGTGCAACCTAGTGCGTTCCCCATCAGAATTACAACAGCAAGAGGAACACAACACAGCAACAAAAAAGGCCAGACGAAACTTTCAGTGGTCGTTAATTGAGTCTATTGCAGCATAGCAGCAACATCAACCAACACCTTGGTCTTCGACTTCTTCACATAGGATTTCTGCTTTTTTGTGTCAAAGTCGAAACGACAATCACAAGACCTTTCTTGAATTCAATTGCCTTCTAATATTGATTTATTGGGATACATGTCATTCGTTCGTGCCGTTCAACTGCGAGTGCCGGCGGCAGGTGAGTTTGTGTTCTTTGTGGCTAGGTTCTGGTTCGACTCAACTCGACTTTTATGAAGCACAAGCGCAAAAGCGCCAATTGTAAATGATTGCTGGTCCGCATTACTGCATTACGCAATCACGATCTGGTCTTGCATGGTATTGATTGTGTTAGACCATGTGTGTGTCTGGACGAATTGAGGTATTGTTCGTCTTCTGCAGGATTAATCTATTCCTCATATTGATGCTTCACCGGTTTCTCGCGCTCTTTCTTGTGGGAAATGGTCGATGTGAAATCACGTTGCACAATCAACTATGATTTTGTGAATCGAAATTCGTGCACCACTCACTAATGCAGCCGCCAAACCCGGTCCGGCCATCGGTCAGGCCCTCGGTCCGCTCGGAATCAACATGGCCCAGTTCTGCAAGGACTTCAACGAGAAGTCGGGAGAAATTTACGAAACGAACACCCCGCTTCGGGTTGAGCTCAGGGCAATGTCAGACCGGTCTTACACCTTTTCGATTCGAAGCCCACCGACGGCTTGGCTGGTTAAGAGGGCCGCGGGGATCGACAAGGGACCCAACAAACCCAACATGTCCGAGCAACCCTTTGGGTATATTACGCCAGAGATGGTCCACGAAATTGCGCTAATCAAACAGGGAGACGACAACACGTGGCATCTGCCGCTGGAGGGGATCGCCCGGCAGGTCGTAGGTACAGCACGAAGCATTGGAATCAAAGTAGCAGAAGAGGAAGATTTACCCGAATAAATTAAAGCTACGAAGTCAACAAAAGCAGACATATAATGATATTTTGTGTACTTGCAAAGTCAGTCGATTTTCAATTAATTTTATCAACGTCATCCTGGCTGTTGAAGCTTGTAAAATGAGAAACAAATGCATGACTCTTAATGCTTTGAACTGATTCTCATCGAAAAGTATATTGATTGGAAGAAAGAGCGAGATGCAGAACGATCGAAAGTTAACAAGGTTACAAAAATGCAGAAGCGATGTGAAAAATTAGGTTGTTGCTGAAAGTGCCCCTAATACGATATTTTCTAGTAATTGAATCCGAACGACACTATCGTAATATCCACAATGCGGGGAGAAGTTAAACATCAAAACCAGCTGAATGACTTGAAGGTGAACAACGGGGAGAAGTTAAACATCAAAAGCAGCTGAATGACTTGAAGGTGAATAATAACAAATAAGATAGTTTCACATCTATGCATGAGATGATAGTAATGTAAAACACATATATTATTTCATTGAAAATTATTGATTCTTTCTATCGTTCGAGACCAAAGCGAGCCACTGCACGTTCCTTTGTCAAACACAATTATTATTACTACACAAAACTGCAGGTTGTCATCGATCAAAAATGTCGAATCAATCGTCTGGTCACGTGTGGTTTTTCACCTTTTAGTTGCCGTCATTATCCTTCAGGTCGTTGTAGTAGAACTGCTTGTTCTGGTTGCCTCCCCCGTACTGGCCGTTGACGTTATTACTGTTATGATTTTGATAACTTCTGGCGTTGTAGTATTGCTGAGCAGCTTCATATTGGCCGTTGTTGTTATTCTCATTGGCATCAGCATCGGCGTCCATGTTCTGTTGGTTGGCGTTGTTGTAGTTACCGTTGGCATTCTCTTGATAGTCTTCATAGTTATTGTTGACTTGGTAGTTATTGCCATTGTTGTAATCGCCGTTGTAGTTCTCATTGTTATCATAGCCGTTGTTTTCTTGGTAGTTACCGTTGGCGTTATTGTTGTAGCCATTGTTTTCTTGGTAGTTATCGTATTGGTAGTTATCGTATTGGTTGTTTACGTTGTAATCATTGTTGTTGACAGCATTGTTTTGGTAACCATTGTATTGGTTGTAGCTGTCATACTCGTTGTAGACGTTGTTTGAGGCGTAAGAATTTCCCGAGGCGTAGCTACCGTCGTAAACGTTGCTAGACGTAGAATCGAGGAAATCGGCGGCGTCTTCTTGGATCTTGAACCCCCTGAGAGCCTTAGGCTTGTATCCGCTGATGGCGACCTTCTTGACAATCTTGTACAGGGTAGCAGCCTCGTCCTTAGTGGGGAAACCAGCCGCGGAGTTGGCCGACTGAACACGTCGTGCGGAGGCAAACAGGGCCGAGTTTTCCATGTCGTCAACAACAACACGTTTGTACTTCGGCATGTATCCCGTCATGGTGGCATAAATAACACATCCATAAACGAAAGTTCCATAGGCAGAAGGGTGAACACCATCGTCCAAAAAGAGCTTCGGCCAGAGGTCATTGGGACTTTCCTCGTAGATGGCCAAATAGGCGTTTCCAACGGGAGCGACATGGGCTTTGGCAAACAAACCGATGCGCTTGTTAAGGTACTTTCGGTAGATTTGCGCACCTTCCATGATAAGCGCAGTGAAAGTCGCTAAATCATTGGTACTTGCAGAGTTTACACCCGACGACGAGTAGGCATGGGGTTGCACAATGATAGGAGAAATATGCTTCTTCTTGAGAATAGGTCCGTAGGTGTAGTTAAAGGCCATGAGCGCGTCGTGTCTACTCTCGTCAAAGGCCATAGCTTTGGGTTGATCTGTAATGACGACAAAATCCCATCCGTGTTTGAGTGTGACGCTATCCTTGTATTCACGGTATGCGTCTTGCTGGAAGCATGGATTTTGGCCATCGTTCACAAAAGCTCCGAGTTGGTTGCCCGGCGTGATCATTTGGTCGCTTCCAGTCAACAGTTGAGGAACGGAGCAGGCACCCATGTCGTACAGGTATTCGGTGGTGCCTCGGTAGGTATCAAACTTCGCACCATTGATCATACCGTTTTGCGTAGACCACTTGTTCCACATACCGTTTCCAGTCATGACTAACTCCAGGATGCTGGCGGAGTTATGCACTACGGAATCTTGCGTTACGTGTCCGTTTCCGATGCTTTCGACGAACCGAGGAAGATCGTTAGCGTAAAAGTAGGAGTTTCCAGCAAAGGCAACATTGATGTGTGATGGGAACGCCGGGGATCGTCCCCCAGCTGCCGCCGCGACGACGATGGTTACTGCTCCAATAGCAGCTCCTGCTAGCAGCGCAACCTGTGTAACTTTGGAAAGACTGAACCACCAGGCAAGAACAGTGGCTGAAATAACAGTGATCTGTTCCATTCCCTTGTCCTTGTAGGAGATGGCGGTGGCCTTGGTCTTGTTCACGAATTCCATGATTTGATCCGTTGTGTTTGATTCTATTTCTTCTTCGCCATCAATAAGGTATTCTTTCTTGCTGTCGTCGCTTCCAAGACTAGTAACGCTGCCATTACCGGAAACCATGACACCATCTTCACCTGGCACAACGGCTTCTACCTCCGTCGAGGAAGAGACGACATCCGGAGGAGAATACGAAGAAGCCTGTTCCTTCGAGGCCTTGCTCTTTTTCTTTCCGAACAATCCCATGTTTTCTGTTTGTATGTTTTGATGCTTTGAATACGATAGTGGAATCGCAAAATATAGATTTCACGGAGACGTGTTTGCAAACTAGCAATGTGGGCTTCTGCTGAGGAGTTGTGAGGATGATAAGAGCTTTACTGCAATACGGTGGGCGTTGCAGCTCGATGCGATACTCAAGTTCCCTAAGGTACACAAAAAGAATTTTTTTGAGATCGGATTTCGATGAAAAATGATGAGTAGATGTACGAGGAGTTTTACGTTCAGATAGTATCATCCTAAGTATTTACCGGCTATAATTTTGAAATCGCCAGACGATTGGAGCTCTCAAAAATTTAGCGGGAGCATCAGTCACGGAATCACTCTTATAAATAGGTCGAACCAAGAGAATCTATTTCATGCTTTATGATGATCTGAATAAATTTATACTCGCAAATAACGTTAAGTTTAACGTTCATATGAAAGCGCGGGATTCTAAAATGGTGACAGTCGGACACCTTCAGTACACAGATCCAATGCATAACTTGGTGTTGATTTGTATGGTATATACGTACATTAGTAAAGTACTATCATGAACCGAAAAACCGAAAACATTTACCTGTACCTTGTGTTTGTACCGGTACATTTATTTAGTGCTGTACTGTACTTACAGTACTGTACGTTATTTACCCCTGGGGTCATAATTTAGAGGGGAGCGCAACGCGTTGAAACACATATTCCAAAAGTGTGGTACAAATTTCCAAAAAGTCCCCGAAGGATTTTTTTTCATTCTCATTTTTACAGCATAATACTAGTAAAACTATCCAACCTTTAAGCAGTTACAGCTTTATCAAAAATACTACTATTTTAATTTTTGAGTAGCCAGTCTAGTCCAGTTTTTAATGCTGATTCTGAATATACCATTTTGTTGGATATTAAATTGATATTTGTGGTACTATTTTACTATTGAAATATCAAAAACGGGATTAAAAGCATCTGATGCATGTGTGCAATCCCACAAAAGAGGGTTCCATTTGCCCAACAGCTGCCATTGATTGGCAATCACATACATTCTATTATCCTTTAGTCCTGATCACAGTATTTTTATTTATAAGGCATTGCTCCATCTTAGAGGTTTAATCAATATTCTTCATTACAGTATAGTATACATCCTCAACAAATGTAATAGTAGTAGCACCATTTGTTGGACGGAAAGAGCAGCTGGAATACCATCACTGTTATTGGCAACAGCAGTGTCACTGTTATTGTTGCTAGCAACCGCTGTTGCGACTTTTGGAGAAGCTTTTTTAATCCCTCTAATTTCTGTACTCATTGTTTGTGAAAACTCATGTTGGTGGTCTGTTGTTGCTGGAGGAATGGTGGAAGAAGATGAAGTATTAGCAGTGGCGTTCTTGTTGTTCCCCACTTTGKGGTTAATCCTTTGCAACAATGTCCTTCTTGTTAGATGTGACACACATGGTTGAAGGCCTTGCAGCACTCCTCTTGTTACTCCTAGTAGCTATTGGCTTGGTGATACCTTTATTACTAGTAGTAGGTCTAGTAGTGGTGTTCTTGGGTTTCCTACTACTGTAATCTGGCTTGGGGAGGCCCTTACCACAGCGTAGGGTTCTCATGTTGTTGTCATCTGTCATGTTGAGACCGGCACATAACAGTGTGTTTTTTCACAAAGCAAAGTTTTATGTTTGTGCACAAAAACTACTACTAGGTTGTGTTTTTTCTGCTGTGCTGCTACACAGTTTGTCTATGCTATTTATACGTCCTGCCATAAATAATGTACATTCTGTATGGCTGGCGCGCATTCCACACAAGCATTGGACATGGTCTGCTTTTTTGAATCACTTGAACCAATTTAGGACAAGCCCACTTTACATGTTAGTACTAGCTGTACCACAGTCTGTGCAAATCTATACGCAGGCGTCAAATGGGCACTGGGGGTGTTGATGGGGGCCGGGGGCAACAAGAGATGCCAACAGTCTGATGCATCAATGGATGTTTTCAATCATTGTTATCATGATGACACAATGAAGTGAACTGGATCCTGAAAGTGGTTGAGAGCTGGGAGTTGGCTTCCAGAGCAGTATTGTTGTGTACCACATTGGTGACATCGTACCATCACAGAAGAGGATTCAAGTGATTTACATGAATCAAAACAGTGATCCCAAAAAGTGGTCTTATGCTGTGCCTGTTTTTGGAGGATATGTTTCTGAGATTAATAGGGATTTGTTTTTCAAGGACGACTTCTTCAAGGGCTTCACTGAAGCAAAAGTTCTATGTGCAACATTTCTGGATTGGATGAGAGAGTCTACAGAGGGACGCATCACTGCTTGTCCTAGGGCAGTGGAAAGAGAGCTGAAAAACCTACGCATATCACATGCCAAAAAGGCTCATATGGATGACTCAACCCCCAAGTCCAAATGAGACAAACAAGACCATCTGCTATATGAGTTTTTCTCTATGAACATGACGACATTGGTTCAGCATCCTGTTGGGAATCATTGTGATGTTTTTGGTAGAACAGGTAAGGGTAAGGACAATGTTGTGCATAGTCTGGAAAACAAAATTGCATTTGCAACACCAACTTTTGTTCCAGAGTATGGACCTGGTTGCAGTGGTGCTGGTCCAAAGCTTTTTGTTTTTTGTCTACTGGATTGGTCTCAACCATCATGGTAGAAGAGCTGCTGTTGTAGCAGCTGGGGGTGAAGCAAATGCACCTCCAATTGTGAATGAAGCAATGTATTCAACTGATTATTTGCTTTCCAGAATGGAATTTTCCAGATCATGATGAATTTGAGCATGATACTGATACTGATGATGAATAATTGTAGTACCATAATAAAGTGTTTTGTTAGTAGTAGTGGTAGCATTATCCTTCTCTTGTTGCTTCCTCATCTGAACCTACTCCTGTATCAATAGGCTCCTCCTCTATTTGATCTTGGAGTGCGCATGTATTGTATAGAGAAGATAGGACAGGAATACCAGTGTTCTTTATGGAAATAATCAAGCCATCCAGCACAATTTGATATGACCAACTAATCAGAACCATCCTCATTGATACCATCAGGGCCTATCTCTGGGACTACTGCAAGTTCTGATTGAATTGTATCAGTCTACCACAAGACACAAAATCAGATGCAGTAGGTATTGGAACATTCTCAAATTGCTGCACCACAGCATAATATCCTCTGTGTCAACTGGATACCCTCTAATGTTTGAGTATGGCTGCTTCAGATTTTACAGATAAAGAAAGCACAGCAGTTGAATGGGAATGGATCTTGACTCATCCTGTCCCACATCCATTAAACACCAATCCATCCAAACAGAATTTAGTTGAGATCTATCTGCTGATCAGTAACAAGGATGGCAGCAAAACAGAAACCTAGTGTTGCAACCATCATCAAAGCAGTTGTGTTCTGTGAACCCTGCTATGAAAGATTGATGGGTCTCCAGAGGAAGCACAGTGTTGCAGACAAAGTCAAGAATAACAGAGGAAAAGAAGGGTTTTGCTTTGTTTTTGCCCTTTGCCATTCCATTGTTGGCTGTCCTTGCTCATCCTTCATGACTTTAAATTGAGATCCAGCTTCTTCTGGGTAGTATTGAACAGGGTCTGCTTCAGACTCCTTCAGATTCTTGTAATACTGGGTAGGGGTACTAATCAGCATCTTCTCTGACCTTCTCTTGGCAGTCTGGTGTATCAATGTGGATGCATTGCATTGTGTGTTCTTTGAGAGGGCCTTTCTGTCTTGTGATGACTCTCACTTGGTGCTCAATCCGATCCAGCAGGAGGTCCCCAAAGTTTGATGTAGTCAGTCATATGAAAATACAAATGAATCTTTATGATCTTTGTCCCCATACCCTTTCTGTAGCACGTTGAATTGACACAGTTAATAAAATGAACAATGGTGTGTTTTAGGTTCTTGAGGGGCACTATTTTTGTCTTTCCATGCTTCAAAAATTCTTCTATGGAGATAATTAGTTGTATCATTTCTATTTGTTTCTTGATGAGATTGTTGTCCTGGATAACTTCCAACCCAAGTTTGGAGGATATTGCAAYAAGAATGGATATAAGCATACCAGAAAAATCATGACCTTCTTTTTTGGTTGTTGATAAGAGGTGGGTGCCAAATTTGGTTCATGGAAAATTTCTGTCTGACTGGCAAGACAATAGAGCACCATACTTTTGAGCAAGATGACCTATTGTGTTAGAACCAGACAGACCTGTCTTCAACGTGGGACCATAGTCACACTTCACAGAACCACACAGTAATAGCTCAATTGACTCCTCAACAGCACGCTTTGCAGTGCCTAGCTGATGCATATGCAGAGATTCACCAGGTGTGGCAAAGTGGATGTTGTGATGGTTTGAACCAAAACAGAGACCATGAAATACATTCTTGATGTCGTGGTGCGACTGATTCTTGTAGTATTTAATTTTTGCTTCTGGACTAGCATCAGGGAAGGAGTGTAAGTCCTCTGGCGTCCACTTGGTTACATTTTCTTGAACAGAAGGAATGTTGATATTTAGTGAGTAACAATCGCAATGCCTGCACATTTGAACCACACCAGTTTTGTTAAAGGATCCATATTTTCCACAAAGTTTGTTATTCAATTCTGTATCCCCAATAATATATGGAATGGAGAACTTCAATTCTACCTTCCACTATTTACTACCTGCATGCAAGAGGTGGTCCCATGTTATTCCAGAATCTTTGTTACATATATCTCTGAATAATTTGAGAGCTGCTTCAAGCCCGGTGTGTAGGTTTTGCATTTTTTCTTTTGCTGTTGCTGGGCAAGTGTGTCTGATAGACTCCCATTCTGCATCAGGATGAAAGTACATGGTTGTCCAAGCTTCTGGTTTGGTCCATGTTGCAACACTGAAAATACCCAGTGTCATATTTAGAGGTGTGAGAGTGAGTCTTCCATGTGCATCCAAAGATATTCCATCCATACAGAAAATGATGGGAACAAGAATTTGTGAATCAGAGGTGCAAATTTCATCCCAAGAGGTTTTCCACCAGGTACCATGGTACAATTCTGAAATTACAGAATCATCATACTGTCGTTGTTTTTGTTGCTGTCACTGCTTCTACTACTGCCATCATTGTTTCCGTTGCCACCAAAGTCATCGTTGTCTTGAGCAGAGGCAGCCATGTGAGATTCAATAAGATATCTTTCCATTGGTGGAACAAAGACATCGCTGATGACCTGTCAATTGACTATGGAGTAAAGGTTGCTTGCTGAAGGCCTTGGCCCATGATTAGGATTAGTGAAATGGGACAGCAGACTTGGTCTGTTTGTGACCATTGTCAGACCAAAATCAGTTGGAGAATGGTGAATGGGAGGAATAGAAGTTTGCTCTCTAATTGTAGTAGAAAAATTGATGTCCCTTCCTTTAATGAGGTTCTGGGATTTGTAGACAGAATAACATTCTGAATTGTGTGAGATATGTCTTTTTAATCCTGCTGCAACATATTTGATGGTGACATGAGTAGTTGATTGAGAATTATAGCCTTTGAACTTTGATTTCTTCCCTTCTAGTTCCCAACAACCACAGCAATAGAATGCAATACTAGGGGTTCTGGTTACAGGAGGCATGGTAGTGGTACAATTTACAGCAACAACAATGAAAAGAGTAAATGAAGAGAAGAAGAATACTAGCAACAACAATGGAACAAAAGTTTGTTTCAATGCGACAAAAAAATATTTTGTTCAGTGTTCAGAACAAATGATTGCAGGTTTAGTGCAGGATGGGTTCTGTACAGATGAAGTAACATCACCATGAAAGGAAAGAGGATCAAAAATTATTTCCCTGTACATATCCCTAACCTTGAAAGAAGTAAATAGACAAATAATCTTCATTTCAATGGGTCAAATCACAAGTTTTTGTGGTGAATATTTATAAATTTAGTCAAGCAGAGGCATTTAATTATTTTGAAACAAAGGTGCATGATATTCTCAAAATTAGTGTCATACAAGGTTGGAAGAGGTCCAGAGGAGGACCATGGTGTGAAGGATGACAGTAAGTGTTGTTATGTTGTTGCCACTGATTGAACATGGTAACAGCAGCTCCTAGAAAATCCTTTACAACTTCCCTTGCAGCTCCAATGGTATCCTTCCACATCTCTCAAGAACTCTCTTTGTCTCTACATTGGGGACACTTGATTTCTTCTGCTGGTAGGCTCTCTTTCTGGAGATAGGAGTTGTCATCGATTGTACAACAAGAAGTGAAGGAGTCAAGACTGAAGGTGATGCTTCAGCTTCAGTAGATGATGCTTTGCCAGCAAGAAGAACCACTGGTGGTTCTTCAGCTAGTAGCAAGAATACCAGCTGGGACACCAGTTGGTGCTTCTCCAGTATTGGGCGCTGAATCCTCCACAGCCTCACTCTTGATGAAGCCTTGCTTCAGATTAAAATCCTCCTCCCCAGTACCAAGGTTTGCCTTCTGACCAATCAACAAGATATGGGTCTGGCTTGCCATCTTCACATACTCTGGCATGTTTGGGTTTTCCATGGAACTCTTGATTCTCCTAACAGCTGCATACTTGGTCTTGATGGATGTCTGGCTTCTAAAGAAGGGCCACAATTTTGCGTGATCATTCACTATGAGATCCCAGTCATCCTGACTAGTAATGGGAAGCCTGTCAAGTGTCATGCCCATGAGACTGTGTAGCTCATCGTGAGAGTAGTAGTTTGCTACTCCAGCCTTCTGGCTGGTAGTGTTGGTGCCTCCAGCCACCTTGTTTTTCAATACAAAAATAGTTTGGGGGATGGGACAATGAACCTCCTCTCCTTTGAGGCCGGACAAATGAGCTCCCTCTTCTTTGAGGTTGCCGGCCTCCTCCTCCTTGTATTGTTCCTCTCTTTGCTGCGGGCAACCTATCTTAGTGAAACTCTTGCCAAACGGGGATTGCCAAATGTACCGACTAAGAGCACTGAGCGGGACATTATTTATGTGTCTTGATAGTCAATAGAGGCACCATGGTGTCAGTATTGTTTTTGTTGCTACTAGCGATGGTGCTTGCTTGTCTCTTCTTGTTGTTGCTTGTTTAGAAAAAAAGAGTCTTAATTTTTGGTTGGTTCAGTCTTAATCTTGGTGGGCCTTTCTGTTGAGTCTTTCAATGGATTTTGAATTTTGTTTTCCATCATAAAATTAATTACATTTGATAACACCAGATCAGCCTCTATCAAACACAATAAATTTTGTTACAGATGTGCTAAATTTTCGGTCTGTCAGTCTATCAAAAGTAGCACATATTGGGCGATTCCCGTTAATCTAGATGGTCTACTTTTTGACAKACAGACAGACCAAAAATAGACTTTCTAGTCCGAATTTTTAGACTTTCTGTCAACGCACAATCCACCCTTGACAGAAAGTCTAAATCTAGACCGGAATCCAAGAATGAAAATCTGTTGTAGGACTCAATTGAAAACTCAATTGAAAAGACCCGCCTGCCCGCGCGCTCTTTTGAATACTCCAAAAAAATGGCGCCAGCGCGTGTCCTTTTGAATCAAGTCTTGTTAGTCATCTCTGTTGAGATTCCAAATTCCTTCGAGACCAGAAAGAGCGCCTAAAAAATGTCCATTGGGCCCCTGTTTTTATGATTCCCGTTAAACTAAAAAGTCTAAAAGGTCTACTTTAGATTTTTAGACCATCTAGATTAACGGGAATCGCCCATTAACGGGAATCACCCAATACAAGAACTAGTAACGGTCATGCGTACGTATTGCCAAGTCACAATTCAGTCGAACAATCATTTTTTGACTTTTAGAAATTGTCGTCATCATCGCACGGTACGATACGTACAGTATGTGAAGCATTCTTGCCGCAATAGATATGTCTCGCGGATGGATCACATCCTCTCCGTAGAGAAAAGGGCACTACTGCTGGCACAAATCAATCAGTTTCGAAGTCGATCAGTAACACAATGTGGCAGACATTTACTTTCGGCTTTCTTTTGTCGTCGGCTGTGGTGACTAATGCATTCACCACTGCTCCCAGTAGCGGTGCCGGAGGAGCCCTTTCGACAAAGCTCCGATCCTCGGCTTCCTTCTTTGACACAACTGATGCATCGAAGCGCGAGGCGCAGATGATCGAACAGACCAAGCGTCTCTTTGACGATGATGTGAAGCTAGGCCTTGCCGACGGTGGGGAGTGCCTGGCAGAAAACTTCCAATTTTGTGCTGCAGTTGTTGGCCCGATCGGAAAGGATGCCTTCCTGGATGCTCTCGGAGGATTCAAGCTTGAGGATTCGTTTGATATCAATCAAAATCGATTCGGGTATGCCGTTTCACCGGTTCAACCCAATCGGGTGTATTTCCTGACCTCTAACACGGCAACCCAGACCAAGGAATTTATGGGTGTAGCGCCGGAGGATTCTCCCAATTCAGAACTGATTCTGCCCCCAGAATGCCACCACGCCGATTTTGACGAGGCCACTGGAAAGCTCACCGAGTACGGATTTTATACGGTTGATCGACAGTACGGCAACACAGGAGGTCTAGGTGGTGCTTTTGGATTCTTTTACGGTGTCGGCAAGGCCCTTCCGTTTCGTGAAGCGAAGCCTTTCAAGAAGTCTGCCAAGTACGCTTTTTTCACTTGGCTGGGCAATTTCATGTCGAGAAAGAAGAAGAGCAGCAACGATAAATAAGAAGGAATAAATAAGATTTAAAGTATTGAGTCTCCATTTATGCGTATGTTTTTATTGAGCAATTATGAGGAGCTACGTGGATTTCATGGGTTACCATCGATGCGTCCACTTAATCGTTGTGTCTTCAGTAAAGCATATCAGTTTGAAAACGTGTTGTGTGGATACGATCTTCCACAGCACTTGACAGAACCAGTATGTGGAATTGAGTATTAGTGATTATTGAGAAATACCACCACCCAAGATCAGATCCTTCGTGTCATTAAACGTAAGGTCGTACCAATTGAGTGCTGTAGGATTTCTACGCTCGTCTTTTATCATTGTATTGAGAGCCTCAGACGCTAGTTGTTGTCTGATCCATTTCTTGGACTCGCTGTTCCTGGTTCGTTCAAAAAAAAGGATTTCCGGTGAAAATTTCGAACCTATGGAAATAGACAACGAATGCGTTTCGGGACCCTCATCTGAAGCGGGAGTCTCGTAGAATTCATAGGAAACCATTCCTGTATCCCATAGCTGTTTCAGGATCACCAACGAAGTTTGCTTCTCGAGATTGAAGTTTTTGGTAGATGCTTTCTTTGTTGCAGGATGGTATAGCTCCAAAAACTCCTTCAATTGGTGGAACGTCAGATCGTACCATCGGGTTTTCTTTCGCTTCCCCCGAGAACTATCGCCCCCATCGAGATTCTTCGTTTCTCTGGAATACATAATTGCGTCTAGAGCCAACGATGCGAGATGCTGTTTTATTGGCGTCAAAGATCGTTTCGATATGCCTGATGTATATGAAAACGACAGGTCCTTGGCTAGCAGACCATCGGGGCTTTCGTCCGTCGAAACAATTAGCGTTATCTCTCCGTACGAGGATTGATCAAATTCAAATCCCTGTAACATTCGAATGTCACATAATTGCTTCAAAATGACAAGAGCATTTTGCTTATCCGGATTCAAAACGGTTTGAGGGACCGATTTAGGTTTGTCCTCAATTTGGCTCTGTTTGCGGGTATTTCCTTGCAACAGGACATCTGGCTTTTCTGACTTCAGCAATTTAAAACTTATTTTTCTCTTTGATGATGCTTTTCCTCTATGCATATCCCGGGACGAGCTAAAGGCAATCTTGAACGGGATTTCTAAAATCGATGACTTTTCTCCGCTTATCAATGACCCAAAACTCGAATGGTCAATTTTGATATTGTTTCGCTCCATTATTTTCCGAGGGTAATTTGTGTCTGGTGACGAATCACTTGGCATCGTATAATTTATAGAAGGTCGAGGGCTTGGAAGATCAATGCTTATTATGCGACTAACCTTGATGCGATTATTGGGCCTGAGTTGAGAAAAATTTTCAGCAGGTGGAGGAGGTGGTTTGAATGGATGCTGAATGGCGTCCTTGGTTCTTTTCATTACCGTCCAGTAGTGATCTCCCAGGATAATGCGGCGACCAGCGAAAAAATTGAAGGCCGATTCATCAGCAACTTCTCCCTCTTCATCGTCATCGCTCTCTTCCCTCAATATCCTTTCAACTTCAGCGTCGACGAGGGTCTCGAACTTTTTCAATTGGAAAAAATTATCGACCGGGTCCATGCATTGAGAATAAAAATCTTCCACCTGTTCATCATCGATGAGAGAGTATGGTTTGGGTACCAAATGTTTCACCGAAATAGGCAATGCCGCCAAGCAAGCTGCCCCAGCACTAACAGATCCACCAGGTTCGAAATCGCGCAACAGTTCTGCAGCTCCGACATCTCTGTTTTCTTCGACAGCTTTTTCAAAGAATTTGGCGATCACTCTACCAGATGGTGCTAAACACTTGCCGTAATTGTAACGGTAACTTGGACAAACACCATCTTGATAGGTTTGTAAAGTCCATAGAAGACCTGCAAGATATCGTTCTACATTAGCATCGGCGGGTTTGCTGATCTCCCATTCATAGTCCGTTCCCATATCATTCCCATCGACATCCATATTTACGTAGTCCAATAAAGAAAACTCCTTCAAAGCCTTTCTTGACAACGAACTTTTTGCTTTCTGAATCCCTCCCGAAACAGAAGTGTTAACTTTGACCGTATATTCATGGTAATCGGCTTCGTTTATCTTTCCCAGCGAAAGCTGTAGCAGTTCCATCCCAGTATTATCTTCTAGTGAATCTTGGTCTTCTAAAACATCCATATCTTCATCGTCATCTTCGTCGTCCGTGTCATAAATCATATCCTCTTCGTCTTCTTGTGCCAGTGTAGGGTCTCGCTCCCTTAATTCAGTCCCCTTTCCATCATCATTATAAGCGTCGTTGCTATCGCCGACAAATGTAAATTTAACCGGCGAAGGGAGAAATCCGATTGCGCTCATGTCGTTCAATATCGATTGGTAGGTTCTTCTAACAGAATGCTTGACGCTCCTCCAGCGTTGCTGTTCTGATGGCGCATTCAACCCAAGTTTACCGAAGAACGCAGCGCAAAACGTTGGACGGAAGTTCAAGGTGTTGGGGTCTACCAATCCGACATTTTGACTGCTAAAATTTTGTTTGATCGATTCTTCGAGAAGGGCTAAATAGGTCGTCAGAACACCCTGGAATCCAACAGCCACCACGCGGGGAAGATAATCGTTGCCATTCAACATGAACATTAGGACCATGTCAGTTCGTATTTGCAAGATTAAGTTTTGGTCTTCTGGATTGCTTTCGGGATCATAGTACTGTTTTGGAATGTAGTTTCGACAGTAATCGTCTAGACTAAGCGTCATCTCCCATAAACTTGTACAGTGCATCAGGTTCTTCCTGTTGTATTTATCATTTTTCCTGTTCTTCTTCATAACACCTTTATTGCTATTATTGCTGTTGTCTTCAGGATTTTCTTTCGGCGGCACATTATCCGTGGCTTCCCCGGGTCTCAACACGAACACATTGTGCGTCCACGATGGTGGAATGACCATAGCTTCTAGCAACAAATCGGCATCGCCACCTACCAAGGCAATCGATTGGCCTGGTCTCCTTGAAAGATGCCTTCTATAATTATTGATCCATTCCAGCAATTTGATTTCTCCTTCCCCCGGAACAAGAGAAGATGAGATGTAGATCTGAACCCTTGGTAGCAATCGGGAATTTGGCCTCCCTTGACTCTGTAATCGCTGCCAAGCCCAGTATAAGATGGCCGCTTCCATCGTTTGCATACATTCCGTACCTGGCGTCAGCTGTAAAGATTGGAGCTCCTTGTTGTAGTTTCTTATTCGCCTCGCCCGTTTTTGTTTACTCATTCGCAATTTATCCGAATGTTTCATTTTGAACTGCGTGTTTTTGAGAATCGAGAACCGTCGTTTTCGCTGGGTGGCTAGTTTAGCTGCGGCTGGAGACCCGTCGATGGCCAAGACTAGCGAATGGGTTGGTTTGCACCGCTCTATCAAGATGTCCAATTCAACCATTAGTAATTTGGTTGCCTGCTCCGTATTTCTAGATCGTCTCAGAATCACATGGAGAATCTGATTCATGTCCACCAAAACATGATCGAACCGATCATTATGCTTACGGACATCGATCTTTTTGACGGAGTTTGGAAATTGGTCTTGGAACCACGCACGGAAGCCTTTGATACCGAACAGTGCTGTTGTAGTCGCCGTTGCTGGTGACGGCAAAGTCGTTCTACTTCGTGACTCTCTTCTTGATGCCATCGTCGGTTGGGATATCGCTATCTTCCTTCTTGAAGAGAGTATTGTTGTAGTCGACACATAATTACGGTTTTGAGAATTCGGAAAAAACGCCAATGTCGTGGGAATTACATCACCGAAAGAGGATACAAACTGCAATATACAGCAATACAAGAAGATCATCCTTGTGAAACGGCTGAACTTTTGCCAGTATCGTTGTTGAGAAGCTGAAAGGAAACCAGTAATACCACTATTAGCAACCTCGCAATGCGCTTCTCTTCTCCGCCTTTTTCGTCGTTTTAACTTCATGTTCGTATCCAAATGGTGTACATGCGTGTTAGACTCACGCCAAAAAGATACTGTTAATGTAGAATCTCGACCGTGCTGTAAAGTTCTCTTCATCGTATATCTAATCTCTTGACTGAAAGCATTCGTATATCGCGAACAAAACTCTTTTGGAAACAATGCCCCAGTATTCGACAAATCGTCGCTACAACCAAAACTTATTCGGTTCTTGCTGATATTCACTACCTGCGCATTCGATTAGATCCAGATGAATACAATTCGTGTAGCAATCTTAGTTTCGATTCTTCCCAATCAACAACAATGTATGCATGTGTTCTTGTGATTTGATTGAAGTCGGCTTAGTTTTTCTTCTTCCTTCCCTAGTTCACGCTGAGTTGCTACAAATGGATGAAGGGGTGCGAACGGCATATGCTTTTTTCAATCAATAATGAAAAGATAGCGATAGTGATGAGAGATAACTGATGCGTGATGGATGAAATGAATGATGCTTAAACGTCGGGTCGTCGTAATTCGGCATGTCAACTGATTTTTTGGTATGAACGTGAAGAACAAATTGACGTGTGGTGCGCTGTAAATTGTGAAAACTAGAAACTGATAAGCATGATGCGCGGCCACGCGCGCTGCCTGGAAGGACTCCTGATGTCAAGCGCACTGAAGTCAAGTATGTACTGTACTTGGCAATTCCCGTGCAATTACTAGTAGAAAATTTTAGTTACTAGTAGAAAATTTTAGCTCATTTTTACAGATGAATCCCATTATTTTAACCGTCAATGAAATAAAAACAGTTTAAAATTGTCATTAAACTTCTGAAAAAATTCTGGCGCGGAGAATGGCTGAGGGCCACGCCAGGATTTATCCAGCAACTGAACCCATTTCACCCATTGCTTTGCCTGATTTTTTTCAGATGTTGAATTTCATAATTTTAAAACTGAGCTCCTCTGCATCAATGTCCTCAATATCAACAGTGTCCTCCTCCATATTAGTGACTCCTAATAGCATACTCAGTATCAGTGTATTCCTCCTTATCAGTGCCTCCTCCACATACTGGTATCAGTGTACTCCGCAGCATCAGCAGCAGGTTTCTCTGTATCAGCATCTCCTCCTCTGCATAGTATCACCAGAGTACTCTGTATCAGCGTCTCCTCCACATAGTATAAGTGTGCTCTGTATCAGTGTGCTCCATATCAGTGTGCTCCATATCAGTATGCTCTGTATCAGCATTCTCCATATCAGTGTTCTTTGTATCACTGTTCTCCTCCACATAGTATCAGTGTACTCCATATCTGCTTTCTCCCTCCATATCAGTGTACTTCCTCCATATCAGCGACTTGTGTGAGGAGTGAATCACCATGCACTTGGTATCAGTACCTCATAATTTGGTTGATTGTTTTTTTTTTGGAAGAACCAATGTTAAACTTGTCTTGTACTGGTACAAAATCATCCAGTCATTCCTCATTGATAGCACTGCTGATTGGCTTGAAGAAATGGAAGTCCTTTGAATACCCACAAACGTTGCCCTCCTTATGGTGACATACCCCACTTCCATGATGAAGATCATCACATCCATGATGAATATGCTCTCCTTCTGCAATCAATGGGTGGTCAGTAGACATATTGGCTTGGCACTGCACCCCTCAGACTTGCTCGAGTATCCGCAAAGAATGCATAGTACAGAGATCCACACTTGAGTATTGTATCCACAAACCACAAACAACACAAATAACTTGAATACAGAGATCCGCACACTGGTCCCTTGAATATCAAAGCCTGTACAAATAACATGAATATGTAGATCTGCATGCTGGTCCCTTGAGGAGTATGAAGCATCCACATGCCAGTTCCTTCTTGAGTATCACAGTGTCGGCACGCCAGTCCCTTGAGTATGAAGTGTCCACACACCGGTCCCTTGAGTATCCGCAAACGCAGCGTCCGCATGCCAGTTCCCTCTTGAGTATCGAAGTGTCTGCACACCGGTTCCTTCAGTATAGAAGTGTCGGCACACCAGTCCCTTGAGTATGAAGTGTCCACACACCAGTCCCTTGGGTATCCGCAAATGCAACAACTGTTTGCTTGAGTATCAAAGCTTCCACACACCGGTTCCTTGAGTATCAAAGCCTTCGCATGCTGGTTCCTTTCGCCATTTTGCTTGAGTGGTATGAAGCGTCCGCATGTCATCTCCTTGAGTATAAATGAACGCTTGTGGATGGGTATGAATGTGTTGTTTTGCTTGCAGATGAGGTGTTTTGATGTGTTTGCTCTTATTTTGGTGGATGCGAGAGGTGGGGCATTGGATGGAGGTATTCCAATACTGAATTCACTGTAAAATAACACTTATGTACAGTAAGTGGGGTTTGTACTATGGTACTGTAATGTACAGGGGGTACATGCCCATGGCAGGCAAGCAAGCCAGCCCTGGAGGTCCGGAATTGCCAAGTACTTGCATTAGTAGGAGCTCTCCTGCCTGGCAGAAAGAACTTCACATAACTTGTCGTCGCTCTTCTGATGGCAAAAAATCACGCCACATTGCTCATTTTTTAGAGGGATGTGCTTAGCATAAGTTCAACTTGTACTATTCCATCCTTCATACTGGTTTGTGGTTTGAATTCATGGTTGCAGATACGTAACATAAGAACGCAATGGGCAAGAGAAAGAGTATCATACCGTAACTTCAGGTTTTTTGTCATCCTTTATCTTCATAAGAAAACAAAAAAGACTACTACGTACTACCATTGTAGTACAACCTGAAAGACCTAATGGACATGAACACCTCCCATCACTATCTGATCCTTTCACTTTCAAACTTCATATGAATACTCCTCATATCTTTGAGTAACAAGCAGGAGCAGCAGTAAGAAGAGTAGGAAATTACTACTAGTATTTTATTATACTGCATTTGCATTGATGATTCAATCTTTTACTGTACTGCATTTTTGCTGATATTTACCTTATCCTTGCATCCATATATCTTTGTTCATTCCATTTTTGGTGGAATCCACCAAACCCGACAATCGGTCCCGAATCACGAGTGATGTCAAGTGCATTCTCATAGAAAAGAAGAGCAGCATGGTTGAATAACACTTATTCAGCTCCTGTCTTTTCTCCGCAATTATTTTAGTATCATGGATAGCATGCTGTAGTTTGTAGGATTGATCTCATCTAAATCGGGTGGGGGATATTGTTGCAAGGATCAAAAAGCAAGTGCAACTCACCTCGGTGGAAGGAATCAATCAATCCACAGTCTGCCCATTAGGAAACGACGAAAAGAAGCTCTTGCCGCAAGTACAGAAGATATTCACACATCATGATCAACAATCGTATGTGCTCGGGCGGTCTCAATGCTTCATGGCGATCGGTGATCCCTTTCGATTATACCACTGATGTTACGTCAATTCCCTTTCGATAGCACCAATGGTCCCTGCATTCACTTCCGGCGGATCCCCGGCGGCGGCCCCCGTTATTGTCGGGACAACCACCACTCCGTCGGTTGGCAGTTCCCCCTGCGACGGCCGACGATAGTGTCTGCGTTTGGGCCTCGTGCGAAACTGTTTCCCAGCGAAAAGGACCAGAACCAACACCACCGAAATGGCAATCGCCATGCCGGCAAAGAGAAACAAGAGAACCCCGCCGCTGGGCGCCGTGGTAGTAACAGCTGCCACCGCCGACTGTTTTCCTTCGACACAGAGAGTATAGCTCTCTTTGGAGACAGCTCGCAGCGTGCACAACCAATCGATCATCGTGTCTATCTCACCGTTGTTCTCGTCGTCCCCATCATCGGGTGTAGATGAATACACCATCTGTCGCTTCAGAAAGATGTCCCACAACCGGGATGAGTCTTTGGTGTGTGCAGCAAATTCTCTGCCGAGTTCAACCGCTTTTTCCTCCGCCCGTATCGAAGCCTGTAGTTCCCCCTCGAGTCTTTCGAGTATCCGCTCCAGGCTGTCGGCCGACAAATCCGGAACGCCGTAGGTTTCAGCAAAACCCGGAAGCTTGGTCCAGGACACATTCTTGGCGGAAGGGCTGTCGTCGCCTTCGGAAGGGGACTCGACCGGGAAACGATCCAGATCGAGATAATACGTGGTGTAGTCGAGAAGGGTTCCCGAACCGTTGTCAAATTCCACGATGCGATAACTCGGATTGGCACCGTAAATGGGCGTGAGCGAGGCTGCAACGTGCAAAGGGAGGACGAGAGCTGGTGTGCTGTTGCTGCTATTGTTCTCGTCGTCGTCGTCTTCGTCTTGGTAGGTCAGCAAACGAAATTCTTCCGTGTGGACGTGCCCATAAAGATTGCCCAGAATTGGTGGGGGATGCGAATCCGCATTCGTAGTTGCGCTACTACGACTCGTATAGGCTTTCAAGATCGAAAAGTAGCGATCTATGTATCGCTGTTGCCACAAATCAGAATGCCGGTAGCTCCCGATCGATGGCGCGATGTGCCCAACCATGTACACCGCACTAATGTTCGAATGGTTGGCGGCCGCCGCCTCGAGCTGCGACTCGATCCAATCGAATTGACCGAGGGGATCATCGTCGTCGCCGGTTTCTTCTCCATCGCTCTCTGGGACAAGGGTCGGTTCGTGAGGTTCGTGCTTCACGGAATAGATGATCGTGTTTAGGGACAAAATCAGAATCGAAGACGGCGGATCACTAGCCGTCTCGATTACCCGAGAAAAGTACCCCCCACGTGCAAAGGTTTGAATTTCCTCGTCCGACAAGAAGGATTCCTGAAATCCGTTCTGCACCATGACCAACATTGGATTGCTGTTTGGTGGAAGATAATTCTCGTCGTCTACTTCACCGCTAGTGCTATTATAGTCAGTATCCGTTGTTGCTATTGTTGTTGTTGTATCTAGATAATAATCGGGAACGAGATCGTTGTTCCCTAGGACCGGAACGATCGGCACGCCCGGGAAGGCGGACGCAATGGATCCTATGCACGACGACAGAACGGATTCCGCAAAGGCGATCGGATCCCTGCCGCGGACCTTTTCCATAGAATGCCGAGAAAAGTCTCCCGTGACGACGATGAACTCGATTGAGCTCTTATCGCCTCTATCGTATCTGTTTTCCTCACTTCCATTAATCCCCGTGTGGTAGATCTTTGCGTTCCCTGCTGCGCTCCGTAGGGAGGAATCCAGCAGCGACGGGGGCGAGTCGCATCCGACCCGCCCCAGAGGGTAGTGGAGGAGCGTTTCGTTTCCGGCGAGCCGGCAGTTTTCCCCGCTCTGATGAGACGCTGCATAAGTAGTTCCATAGAGAGGATCCAAGTGCAAATCGCTCAACCAGAGAAACAATCCCATGGCTGACTGTATACGTAAGTACGTTTGTGTTTGATCTTCCCTCCTGGAACGTGGGCTTTTGCCGGTAGCAAAAGTAACGGCGACGGCGGCGAAAAACAACCGAAGATCTGGCCTTTTAATAGGTGCCCAACAACTCTCTATCTTACATTCCACTGCTCTGATTGTCGCACAATCAAAGCCTTCTCTATCGGCACGAGTGCATCAACTGACCAAATTCTGATGAGAACGATCTCTGCCGTACGGAATTGTACTTCCTAACACTATGAAGTATCGTACGTTCCGTACATTACGGTGCTAAGGGCAGATTTGATGTTATCAAGTTTTCGTGTCGACAGACGACAGATTCTCGTATCGCACGTACGAATACCTCACCACTATGTACTGGTACCTAGCGGCACGAGAACGAGTTGTGACTGGGACGAAACGCAATCAAAATACAGGATTAGGTCTTTTCCGGTTCGCTGCAAGGTGGAAGTCGAATTGTTGTCATCCAGTGGCATCCTATGTATTTTGTGGAAGAGTAAAAAAACTATTCTAGTAGTAGTAGTATGATTTTTTCTTTTCTACTTCCATAATTCAAATCAAATGGTGAAAATATTTCCCGTCATGATCGGTTCGATGTCCATTGTGCACATCTGGGGTTGGATTCAGGTCAATGTACAACACCTTCTTGATGATTTCAAAGCTTCTTCTCGTACTATTTGCAAGTCCTCCGTAGATCATAATTGTCGTCTGCCTTCTTTGTTAGTAGTATAATGCTGATTCTTCATTCCTTTTCCTTTTCAACTCACCATGTAGCTACTACTAGTAGGTTCTACTCTACTGCTGTGGTAGTTTAGAAGACTGAAGAACCTACAGGGTCTTCAGAATCCTTTTCCAGCTTTGCTTTGTTGACAATGGCATCCAAATCAAACCATATCATCCCTTCTGCTATTCCAGCAAGAAACAAAAAAGAGAACCTAGTAGTAGGGAGGCCAATGCATTGGATTAGTTGGTTCTTGCTCTATTGATTCAAGAAACAATATATTTTGGTGACTAGCCAGAGCTATATCATAGCATTGGACCTTCTTGTTGCATAGTAGAAAAGTGGTGTAAATTATCCTACACTATCTGTACTGTACTATAAAGCACTGCACTTGGCCTTGGTGGTCAATGTTTCAAATGTGAAAAGAACCTCATGAATGATGAAACAAGCAAATACCCATGACTCAGAGAACAGTGTATGTGGAATCCTGCCTGTGATTTCAATGTATAACTTCAAGAGGGAATTACTTCTTGTGGGACTCAAATATTTTCAATATTTAGGAAATTTAGAGTGAAGGGGCTGTTCCTTTTTGTTTGATGCTGTAAGTGTAGCTCAAAACGAATTTTTGTCTCACATTCTGTCTGAAAAAAATCTAGGAGAAAGGGAATGATGGTACTGTACATTGAACGAAACCAATCCTTCATGTGTAAACATTGTCTGCAGCAGTGGTAGCAGGTGGCAGAGCAGTACGAGGCCGAGGAAGGCGTGGAGAAACACGGGAAACAAACAATAAGAACTGCACATGCCGGCTTTAAGATATACCCCAAGCAGTACTTACATACCGAACTTTCCAACTTGCCCCGACAGAGAATACATCCATCCCATCTAAAACAGTAATTCAACGTATGAGGATAGTGTGCTAAATATCGAACCTGGCATATGACAGGGTATTCGCACCACTAAAGTAGCTAATTGTAATACGATTATCTCTACAAGACGTTCAAATTTGTCCAATGCATGGTTTCATCCAGACTGCATCAATCGAAATCAGTTCTCTACTATTCGTCCATGTCGTCGTCTGATGAGGATTCATCGTCATGCTCATCATCGTCGGTCTCTTCTTGGTCAACATCATCTTCATCATCGTCTGTATCGTAAGGTCCATCAGGCACACCCACCGTCAAGGGTATTGTTTCTTCCAGGATTCGGCATTCCATGTCTACTAGCTTGTCCTTGATGAACACCACCAGGGCCGAAAACGCCTTCGAGACCTGACCAAAGGCAACCTGCAGAATCAATAGCTTGAATGGAAGCCCTACGCGCACGTATCGGTACCAAGACGGCCACCGCTCCCAAACAAATCCAGATACCAAAAGACGGTTCATCACCGCCTCAATGATAGGCAATACCTGGATAGTTACCAGTAGAACCAGGATTCCCACCACAAGAGGGAGCCGGTTTCCATCTAAAAGTGTAGAAAGGAGGACGCCCTTGGGTCCCATGTGCTGAAGCAGGGAGTACCGAGAATTCGGACTGAACCAAGAGGTGAGAACCGCATACTTGTCGTTCCACATGGGCTCAACCTTAGAGGGATCGTCTCGGCGCAACCGATTGAGCGCTGCCAGCGTGATCCACTTGTCTGTGTGGGCCAGTTCTATTGGGACTACCAGTTTCGCACCCGGTTCGGGCTCGTAGCTGATGAGGCAGTGCCCTGGATCCTCTTCGGTACTCATAGCGCAGTCCCAATCGACCTTTTGCGGTGGGCTTGTCCCTTCGGGAGTTGCCACGTCCTGGATCGTGGCAATTGGCAGTCCCCGTTTGGCAAGAGTTTCACTAAGATAGGTTGCCCGCAGCTGCAAAAGGACTTGCTGCTTCATGCGGTAGGCCAGTAATTTGTCGTACTCGGGATGTTGTCGAATATCGTCGTTTTCCTCATCTTCCTCTTCTTCGTCCTCTTCGTCATCAAAATCTTCGGTTGCTGTACCAAAGAGAGCGCCACCGCGGGGAATCGATCGATCCACAGCAAAAGATGGTCTTTTATGGCTTTTCGCAAAAGAGATTCCTTGGAAATTTCCGATATTGGATGACGTTGCCGCCACAACGATTTGTAGCATCAGCAATGATGCGCCTAGTACATAGAAGTACGGAATAGTTTGCGTCCGACCCCGACATCTCACATTTCCAGTAGGCGCAGAGCTGACCAGCGAAGATGCCGCTGGTATTCTTTTGCCACACATTCTTATTTTTGTCAAATTCTTGGTACTACTGTGCAAAAATGATGCCGTATTGTATTCTATGATACAACAGTGATGTTGTTCTCGGTCTTGACAAAACTAACCATAGTCGCTCCCATAATCGTACAAATTATTTCCGGTAACGATCCTTTCAACGATCGATGATTTTAGGATTTGTTGCGTCCCAGTGCTATTGCGTACAATCTACACGAGTACGTACGTACTCCTACTTCTGCTTCTTACCTGAAAAGTACCGAAAAGTGTTTTTTCGTGAGAATTAATTTTACACGTGTAGATGTGACATACCGGTAGATCACGAGTGGCTATTGAATAAAATCACTGCTATGAAAAGTATGAGTACTGTATTAGTTTTTGTGCCTTCTCACACAATGATTTGTCTGTCCGTCGTAGAAGATTCGAGATCATTGCTACGCGCTGATCAATGTACACCACCAACACAAGACACCCTTAATAACACGTGCGATATGCGCGCATTTTTGGGAAAGCATTCCTGCTCTGCGCAATGATTTTTAAAACCTGCGGCTGTTGCGGGTCTTTCTTTCGGGTTCTCTAATGAATTTGCGGCTCGCTTGTTGCTGGACATACTGGTACGTATCGGAATCCTAGTCACATACGAGCTCACAAACATTCCCAAACGGGCACATCCATCTTTTCACCTGTATCACCATGGCCGAAGAAGCAGCAACTCCAGTGGCACCTCCTGCCCCAGCCCCCGAGGAAGCCCCAAAGGAGAAGAAGAACGACAGTAAGGGAAAGAACCGAAGAAAGAAGGAAGATGATACCCCTATCGAAGAGCTCTTTGATCTTTCCAAGCCTATCCCCCGTGTAAGTGAAGCAAAGACAGAAATATGACCCCGCGCAAAATCCCAAAATTAGTATTTGGTTTAGACTTGCAAGCACATCCGGACTATACTTTCACCACCCAAATCAATTTTCGGCAATGGTTCCACTCGAAGACCGAAGGGATTTTATCGGCACTTCGAAAGGGAATCGGTCGAGCTTTTATTGGCATCGGACATCCGTCGAACTATGGACAAGTGCTACACCAACTTCAATTGGAAGCACTATTAAAGTCGACAATGACTCGCACTTTGTTGGTTGAATGCAGAAAAGAGGATCTTTCCAATAGCTTCTTAATTTGTGGCCATAATTTCACTGTCATTGGCAATGTCTTACCCCTCGATCGGGTCTTTTTTGCAAAATTCAAAATCATTGTAGGTCGATAAGCCGGACAAGGGTGCCCACGAAGCCAAGCTCAAAGAACTGAACGAAAAGTTCGAGCAACTCAAGAAGGACAAGGATCAGGTACAGAAAAAGATCGAGGCCGCCATGACCTCGGGCAAGAATACTGACCTCGGCAAGGCTAGGGATGCCATGGCGGCACTTCGTTCGAAGAAGGGCAAAATGATCGAGGAAAAACGTGCAATTCGTGCCCAGCTCGATCTACTCAAAAAAGCAGGAGATAAGCTTGTCCAGGATAAGAAAGAAGCCAGATCCTCTGTAAGATTCAACTCTATCGAAGAGATTGATGCCGAGATCAAAAAGCTCCAAAAATTGCAGGAGACGACTTCCATGAGTTTGACGGAAGAGAAGAAATTGATCAAGGAGATGGACGGCCTCCAAGCCTCTAAGGAAAAGGTCAAGGACGTCAAGTCCAAGGATGCCAGTTTGGACGGAATCAAGAAGGAGCGTACCGCCGTCAACGAGAGCATCAAGGCAAAGGACAAGGAAATCGACGCTGTCACCAAAGAAATGGACGAAGTCGGTTCTAAAATCAAGAGCCTTGCGGCAAAAGAGACGGACAAACGTAGTACTTTGGATGCACTCTTTAAGGAGCGTGATGCCTTCAAGAAGGAGATTTCGGTCGTATTGAAGGAGAAGGACGCCTTGAGAGACGAATACAGAGAGAACAACAACGCCTGGTGGAATGCTCAGCGAGCTGTGAAAGCCCAGAGACAAATCCAATACGAGGAAGAAAAGAAGGCGCGTGAGGCAGAAAAGGCCGCCTACCTCAAGAAGAAAGAGGAGGAAGAAATGAAGAAAATCCCATACGAGGAGGAAATGGGACTCTGCGACTACCTTGCTGATTACTTGTCTCGCACTTACTTGAACGCGCCACCTGCCGAAAACAAGATTTCCGTGAAGAAGGAAGAGGTGATTGCCGTGAAGGACGATCCTTTCGCCGGTATGGTTGCGAGGTGCAAAAAGAATGACGACGAGGAAAACTACTTCTCCAAGGGCAAGGGCAAGAAAAAGCGCCAACGTGCTCCCAAGAAGATTGCCACTGCTCCTTTCACTCTCAGCGTCGATTCCTTCGAACAGTTTGGTTCGATTGGCTTGAATCCTCCAACTAAGCTTGACGAGGTCGAGAACTCTGTCAAGGAGCTCCGTGAAAAGAAGGTCTGGTACTCGCAACAGCCCCGTGGATCCGTCCCCACCGCCAAGGATATTCGTAAGAAGAACGAGAAGAATGCTCAGAAACTGCGGCAGACGCCGTCGAAGGCCCCTACTGGGAAGTTCAGCGCCTCGGACGACACTTTTGTTCCTCTCGGAAACGGATCGTCGACAGCCGCCGGTATCCCATCTTGGGGAGCCGGACAAAAGCCCGCGCCAACTGTCTCGGGTGAGGAGGTCGTCAATGCGGATGACCCAACCCCCGCCGATGCCGCCGCTCAGGAGTAAGTTGAACCATTATGTTTCTACCCCACAATTAATTGTGTCGTAGGATGAGTCAGCCTTTCGCGGTTCACCCGATCCAAAACGACGGAACAAGTTGGCCAACCTCCATGTTAATTCAATGCGATTCATCATGCGCGCACCTCTAGGCAAGACACTCACTACGAACACTGCAGAAGTGAGCCCCCCACATCCACAACCGAAAAATGGCTACAAAATCAATCCCACCTCTACATAATTACTAATATCAATCATTACTTTTACTTGACACACAGTTTAGTCCCACACTCTTGACACACTCGAGGACTCATAGATTCAATGCTCTACCAATGTCACCTTGTTCACTATTACATGCGTTCACACAGTATATCTTTGTACAAGCAGCATCTCCTAACAGAAAAGCAATCTTTCTTTTGAGTTATAACTTGGTCCATGTTTCTGGTTGGAATGCATTTCCATTTTCAATGCACCTGCAAATCCCTTTTAGGTGGCACCAAATGTGCATCGCTCGGGCGAGTTTTAGGCCCGAAACGTCCCCCGTTGTGCTCAGTCTGAAGCGTCGTTTATGTTCAATGACCAGGGGTGGCTCGAACCCTCTCGTCGTCAGCTCGTAGTGCTGTTTTCCGCCGATGGACCGCTTTTTGAGATACGCTGTGACCGCCACCGATCCGTTCGGCAGGACTACATCGATCGGTGCCAGAAGTTTCTCGATCTGCTTGAATTCGGCTGAAATGGTTGATTGTGCCAGATAAAAAGCGGCCCCGTAATCGGAATCGCTTTTCCGTCCAAGCTTTGCCGGGCACTCGGGGCGGAGCCTCCCATCGATTTCTGGAATCAGCTCTACCAGTGAGACGAAGGAATCTCTCTGGGAAAGCAGGGCCCTTTGCGATGCCTCGTCCGTAGGAAATCGCATGGGTTGTTGTTGCTGCTGCTCCATTCTGCGATTCCACCGTTGGACGATCACCTCTTTCATGGCGACCAGGCAAGCTTCGGCAATGGAAAAGAATCCTTTCCCGGAGGCACCCACCGGTATCGTTTGCGATTTCCTCATAGCCCCCGTGGAGTCCAGGCAGTCTCCCAATCGTTTGAGGGCGTCCGCGCTCGAGACTCCTCCGCATCCCCGTTTCACGGCGTGTGTGCGGATTCGAAAGGCATACTCGCCGAGGGATCGGACCGGAAAGTCGTGGGCCGTGACGGTTAGATCCACAATGCGACCCGTGTATTGATCCAGCTGCTTCGACTTGTAGGAATCCCTCGTCAGGTTGGATCGGGAAAACTTCCAGAGGGCTAAGACGATGTTGGCTCTCAGATCAGGCCAGAGCTTTGTTTTTTCGCGGAGCCTGGGATAGCAAACGCCGTGGCTTCCTTTGATAGTGAGAGAAGACGAACTAGACGATTGTTTGGGGGTGATCTTCTTTCCAGAGCTGCGATACGGGTTCTCAACAATCGGCCGCCTCCTCGTAGAGGAAATCACACTGTTCCCAGTTGTTCTGGAGGAAGCGCTCGAACGATCACCCAGCGAGGACAATCCCCGTGCCCCGGTTCGCGGGGTTTCGAGCGCCTTGTTCCGGCTCTTGTCCAGAGACAAAGGGGTCGTAATGCTGCGGCTACCGGAAGAGGCTACGGACCGTCTCCCCAGGGAGGAGTTCCTGCGAAGAGCAGCGGGAGTCGCGTTCTTGGGTTTGGCGTACGGATTCTTTGGACTCGMTCGCAGTGGCTTTCCCCTTCCCATGTCCGACGGTAGGGTTGTAGAAGCGCCCGCTTGGGCATTCCAGGCAGCGTCGGTAGCACGCGAACCACCTTGCAATTGGTCCACTTGTTGCTTGTGATGAGTGGGTGCCGTTGTGATTGTCATTGGCCGGGAATCGTTCATCAAGAGGCCCTTGCTCGATACGTGGCTGCAGTTGTGCAACGAAGGCGGTGAGTTTGCTGGCTTGCTAGATCTCGTCAAACCACTCGGCTGGATCTGTGACAAAAAAACTTCGTCGTCGCTATCGCTGTTACAGTCGAACGCCATCGTCGCTGCACCGGGACGCTTTCGTTGTTTCGCTATTGCGGCCGACTCGGCCTTCTCCGTTGTGGAATAATACCCCTTCGGCGCACCCCGACGTTGACCTTTCATAGCGAATTGGCAGTGTTGCCATCGCGATCGCCCTCCGGTTGCCGCCGAAAGTCCTTTCGGTGGAGGTTTTGGAGGCGGATCAACGATGACAACGTCGTCATCGTCTCTTTCGCCGTCCGTGCTATCGTCACCGAGTAGATCCACAATGTCTACCATGCTCTCTTCTTGTATGGTATCTCTTGGAATAGAGTTAGACTCCGCAGTGACCGTCCTGTTCTGTTCCGCTGTCTTGTCTAGTTGTGTTCGTCTGCCACTGTGCTGCAATCTCCTTCACTACTCTGAGGTTGGTCTAAAATTTGCCAGTACCGTACCTTTTTCTCACGAGTAAGTGTTACCACCCGCGATATGGTTGTTTTCTTTCTTTCGCTTGTGACTGTCGTACTGCACGACCCCGTATTGACGGTTGGTTTGTATCAAATGGCAAAACCAAAGATGCGTTACTGTAGCCCTCTATTCTGATAGAGACCTTACATTTGAAATTCCATAATGCAAAAAATTACAAAACTCATTTCTTTGCATTGCTAGGATTTGTAAACTCATTTCCTTGCATTTTTAGGTTTGTAAACTCATTTCCTTGCAATTCTTGATTTGCAAACTCATTTCCTTGCAATTCTTGATTTGTAAACTCATTTCCTTGTGCTTCAGTGGTACTTGGTACCGTAGTCTACTACTATTTGCTTCTTTTTCATTTCTGGAAATCTAAACTGGGTTTTTCAGCATGAAAATAATCTTATCTGTACCTTTTTGCGATGGCTATTGTAAAATTATTAAAAATCATACCATCCCCAAATATAAACTTACCTTAAACGATTTTTCATTTCTTGAAATCTACCGATTTTCTTAAAAATAGTTCCCATTTCCGGAAATCTACCGATTCCCTCTCTGCCTCCACTAATTTAACACTTTTTTAACGTTCGACATGTCCTGCAATACTCATGGAGTAAAATCAATCAAATGACATGTGAACTGTCCAGATAAAAATGGACAGAATCGGTCGGGGCAGTAAAAATTTCAAACGAGAACAGAGGGTAGAAAGAGTACCGTACAAGTACGAATCGTACAACGAGTACGAGTACGTACCGTACGGTACAAGTCACAAGTAATGCAAAGTACTTCAAATTTTGTTGGGGTACGAACGTACCGTATGTTCTTTTTTTGGCGCGTCATTTTTTTAAATTCCCTTGAATCGAACATATCTTGCATTATATTACGTCTAGTTGTCTTAGACAATGTACGTTACCTCTGCCTAACGCACAATACACAACCCACCGGCCACGCTATGCTGCTTCCCGTCTCCGCCGGTCACCGCTGCTTCGTCTATGGGACGCTCATGTCCCCGGAGGTCCTCCGCACCCTGATCGGAAGGGTCCCTTCCATCGAAGACCGGCCGGCCTATCTCCCCTGGGGATACTCCCGGCACCCGGTGTCGGGCCGGGTCTTTCCCGCCGTCATCGAGAACGCCAGCGACAAGGACCGCGTGAAGGGCCTGCTCCTATCGGGCATCACGGACGAGGAACTGGAGGTCTTCGACTGGTTCGAGGCCGACGAGTACGAGCGGCGCAGCCTCCCGGTGTCGCTTTTGGGGCCCGAAGCGGGCTCGCCCGGTGGCGGTGGCAGCTGCGAATCAGACGCCACAGAAGTGGAGGTGGACGCCGATGTCTACATATGGTGCGCGGGGGACCGCTTTCTGGAAATGGGCTCGGCATGGGATTTCGAGGGCTTTTGCACCCACGACCTAAAGTGGTATCTCCGGTCTACCGTCCGTCCCTGCAGAGACGACTACGATCGCCTGAAGAAGCTAAGCTGACCGGACCGGGTCGTGAGGAAACGGAAAAGATTCAGATGCAGGGCCAATCAATCTTTCGTTCGATCCGACTGCTCGACATCGAATCGATGCATCGCAGCGTGGAATGAAATGCCCTAAGCAGGTCTTGTGGGCAGCAGCACAGCATTGATGCCATCGAATGGAGCTAGACAGTCTTTGATTTGATGGAGGATGGATCAAAAGCAATACCAATACGTGTTCGACATGTTGTGGTATCATCACCGGAAGATAACTGGACCGCTAGTCTTTTGTATCGCGGGCCGATGAAAGGAACGAACGAAACAAACAAGTATTTAGTATGAATTCAGTTCCGATTTTATCCCTATATATTTACGGATAAGTAGTTAGTCCCCTATATTCTGCTCTCGCACCATTCCAGCTGATTCCTATCAGAGCTTCTTGGAACCAGACGAAGCATAATAGGAGACAGATCGGCATAACGACCTACTTAGTTCTTACTAGCACTAGCTTTGGAGGCCTAATTACTACTTCGTAACATACTGGGCAGGAAAAGAGAACACTGTCTCCTTCATATGACCCGAAGACCGCGTAATTGAATTTCATTGTCGTTCCCTTGGGACAGTCGTATCTACTTCAAGGGATGGGGTGGTGTGTAACAATATTTTCTGGGAATTTGTTCATTCGTATGATGAAAAGGGTTATTCAAGAAAGAAGAGTTGGTCATGGTTGGACAAAAGTGGTATGTGTTATGGTTGGACAAAAGTGGTATGTGTTATCAAACTACTAACAATTTATAGTACTGAAATTCCTTCATAGATATGATCACCCGCATCTCGAGCTAGTAGGGCCTAGTAGCAGCATCGTGGCGAATTTCCAGGATCATGATACTACACCTATTTTTCCAATCATCCGGCCACCACTTCCACAAACACCTCCACCAACAACAGATGAAATGCTTTATGGCACCACCGTAGCAGACAACATAAATGCCTAAGCTGACAAAGGGAAAGGTTTCATCCATTTCATCTGAATTTGGAACCAGCTCATTTGATTTCACCTTCTCATAAACTTCTTCCATGGTTTCAAAGAGATAAGCACAAGTGGTAGATTTGACACTGAGATCTTTCTTGACATCTGAAAAAGAATATCCACCAAACACATTGATAGCTAGTACCAAACTGATACACAAAAAGGTGATTAAAAAATGGATTAAACCTTGCAGACCATCATACAAAAAAATAGATCTTGGTGCCCCTTGTCTTGTCTGTTCTTCTCATCCTTGATAAAGTATATTTTGGCCTTTCCTCTGACCCAAGAACAAGTAAAGTTGTGTGGAGTAGTGACTGTTTTGTTTTGACCAGCATGATCAATTTCAATATCAAATTCATTGATGATGCAAAAAAACTCTCCAGGATTTTCCCTTTCTGATTGTTTGATTGAGATTTACGTTTTTATCGAGGTCAATATAGCATTGCCATCCGTGCTGAAATTACTAGTCCTGATGTTGAAAGTAATTCAAGAAGTGTTATTATGAATACAGTACAACTTTACAATAATGCCAAAATGTGTTGTGTTTGTTCTGTTCTTGTTGTTGAGGGCGGGGTGAAGCAAAAAATATGCTTAAATTTTCAGTTTTGTCACCATGTGACTCCTGTTGAGGAGACTGAAAATGTTAAGTTAAGGATTCCAACAATTAGTAATATGTATCTCAAATACTCAGATCTTGATTGTTGTGGACAAGAACAACCAAGATCCGACAAGCATTTGAGATGCATACTTTTAAAGAGCTGGTGGCTGGTCAAAAATTACTTATTTCTGTGTAGTAGTATGGTGCAGGAATGACCCACAAGCAATGTCACCAATACTACTACTAGTACCCCTCCTCGTCCTGATGACAGGAGAGGAGGAGCTACTAGCTAGTAGTAGTAGTAGAATATATTGCTGACTAACGAAGCCTGGTGAGCCATAACCTCACTCTTTATTGTAAAAACATAGTTATGACCAGGGGCCATATTTATGACCCCTGGTTATGACATTGGATTCACAACAGGGCTGAGTGAATGGATTTTCTTCCGCCAAAACAGCTTCCACCACTTTACTTTATCATTTACGGTATGCTCCGTATGTTTGGGCGTAGGGTACTGGTAGATTTTTTTTTCTTCGAAGCAGAAGCACTTGAGAGGTTGTTCCGAGGACCCCTTTGACCAAGGCTAGATACTGTATCTGTCCGTCTATCCGTATGTATTGTTATACTGATCTGTAGAGTTAACATCTAGAGTACCGGTATGTACATTTAGTACGTACGACATTGACCCGTAACAATAATATTCTTCATCACTAATTTGATCACCGTCCAAAACTCGAGTCGAAAATATGAAATATGTTTTCCCGTTCTTCCTGCTCCTGCGATACACTAAGGAAACGATGCTGCTTTGGTAGACACACCCCAAACCAACCGTTGCTGATCTTTTCGATGCCATGACACCATCACCCATCAACAAAAACACCGCCCCCATCAGGGGGGTTCGTACCATTGCATCCATCAAGAGAGAACTCGAACGGCTTGCCGAACGACACAGCCGCCTTTTGCCGATAGACGACAACCACCACGGAAGCGATTGCAACAACAGTGCGAACATGACTGGAACGAAGGCTAAAAAGAAGAACCGGAAAGGATTCCTCCAGCACCGCCACATAAAGAGCGAATTTCACGGGAATTACGCCGACAACGACGCAGACACCAACGACTCCGGGGACGACTATTATCTCTCCCTGTTTGAAGAATTTGCGATCACTGTCTGCCACACCGGTGTGATACCGCGGAAGGAGCTCTTCGAAGCATGGGCTATGGCTCTGTACGTGAACCACTACTTTCCAACCTCCGGCGAAGGGAGAGAGGGCCAGCGATGCTACCAGCGCGTGGCGGATCTCTGCAGCGGACACGGGCTTGTGTCCTGGGCGATACTGTTCCTGGACGAGCACAGGAGCCGGACGGCCGTCTGCATCGATATTAGCATACCCAAGGCCTGCGACATTGTTGAGAGCGTCATGCTTCGGCGCCACCCGGAGGTTGCAACCTTTGAAAAAGCTCCAAGCCGCGAGGGGGAAACGAATCAAGAAGAACAAGCAGCACAGCCTGCAGCAACGCCAGCCGAGACCTCCACGAGGAAGAGATGGCACTGGATCGAGGGGGACATTTGCCGAAACGTCTCGGCTGACTCCTCCACCCTCATCGTGGGTGTCCACTGCTGCGGAACACTGTCGGATTCGATACTCGATCTCGCCATTCAGTCGGGGTCCGCCCTGGCCCTCGTTCCCTGTTGCCACACGAGGCGGTCCCTACCCTACGAGTACAAGCCTCACAAGGCCTTTGATGCGCTGATCGAGCAGAACATCGAAAAAAACAAAGCGTTGGCGCTCCCGCAAACCGATCCCACCACGATGCCACTCTCATCCGAAGGGCAAGAAGGAGACGGAGAACAGCCGGCGCCGGAACTTCTTCCGACCACGCTGACCGACGTCATCGATGGATTTCGGATAGAGCGCCTGGTCAACGCGGGCTTTGACGTGCAGGTAGAATCCATCCCATCCGTGATCACACCAAAAAACAGAATTATTGTCGCCTCCCCACCACCTGACAGTAGCTGCCAGTCCGGAAGCGCCGGTGGCGACCAAGGGCAAGCAGCATTCCGGGACGCGAACGAGTGCACCGAGAAGAAAACTGCCCCAAACAACATCAGAAACAAGCGGGCCTTCTCGATCCCTCTAGGCGATACCCCCGAGGCACGGGCGGTCGTCGCATCTCAGTCGGGGAGGCTCGCCGCGAACCTGCGGGACCGCAGGCCCGCGCCGAATCTTTCCCTCTCGATCTATCTGCCGAGCCCCGACGAGTGCCCAACGGAGGAAAACCTCCAGGCTCTCGCGGACAGAGTTGCCGGGGGAGAGGCGCACCGATATTATGCAAAACTAGAAGCGTCAGAGGACGCAACAATCATTCGAACCCAGGTCCGGTATGGGGCCGACGGGGTCTATTCGACCCCGGACGGGCGCTTTTCGAGGTCGTATCGTATCCAATACGGTGTCCACGACGAAACCGGGAGGCTCCCCCAGCTGACGAAACAGCAGGCCAAGGAATTACACGCATTAGTTTGCCGTGCGATTGAGGAGGGTGCTCTCCCGGGAATAAAGCTTCGGCAGGGAATGAAGAGACTTAGCTAGGCTGGAACTAATGCATTCAGGGTTTGGATGAGACGAAAAAGTTCCTTTATCTTCCTCTAGGCGTAGTTACAATCAACACTCTCTGCGTCTCCCGTCCTCCCCTACTACCCGCAAAGTCACTCCTCTCTTTCACCCAAGAGATAAGCTATCAGACAAAATCGAAGCCAGCGACACCAAACTGGTGGATTGAGCGACACGTTTAGCGTCTGCATGATGGTCCAAATGACACAGGCAAAAGTAGTGAGTCCAAAGCACTCGCTACATCACTCGGACTTTCCATGTATAAAGGTACTCAGATGAAGTTTTACGTTCGTGAAATTGGCTACGAGATCACAATATCGTTTACGTGACGACTCTAAGGGTGTGTTATCAACTAATGCATAATTCATGATTGAGATATCCTTCCATGGAAATGCCAGTGGTACTATACCAATTAAAATTTTCTTTGTGGATCGATAGATACATTTTTCTTAAGGCTGTTTTGCGATGCAGCGTTGGTTTGGTAGCCGGTTAAAGTGATAAAGTTTTATACTGTCGATTGTTATCTCTTAATGCAGTCTTTGCCGAGAATATTAGAACGTAGCGTTAACGGATTTTTTTCGTTGTTGTTGCACGACGATACATGTCGGTAGTATCAGGTTATATTCTTCCGGACCTATTTTTCGGGTTTGCTAGATGCAATTTTTATGATCAATATATTCGACATATATATCAGTTATGTTGTGTGCTTGATTAGAGATGTTCCATGTTGACGGTCGATTGAATAATCGCCATTGTGGGATAGTTATCTGTTTACAGAACCGCTACTAGTTCTGAAAAACTCCATACAGTATAAAATACGTGGGAGTCACCAAAGTTGGCTTTCGGATGCACTACGTGGGTGCTTCAACTCAGCGCAACCATTTCTAAATCGCACAATAAGCGAAAGATCAAATCAAGCGACTCCAAATGAATAATCGAGCATCAACTTTGTCGATAAAGGTACGCCAGCTGACGATTTTTTGGTGAAAGTCTGCTTTCTCTTCCTATTTGTTTTGATTGGCTGAACTTTAGGGTGTACACTGCTCCTGTCATTCGTTGGGAAACCATGTCGATTGGAACTGCATTTGATTTCGCCTTGGTTCCTCAAGGTATTGAATTTGCACAATCAGGTCCATCACCTGACGGTTCTTTGGCGAGTGGCTGCTTATCTGTCGTCTTTGTTTTGATTGAGTGGATTCAAGGATATTTTCATTCCTTCTCGGGTAAGTATGTCACTTAGAAATACGGTCATATCCTCTTTCCTTCTTTAGGTAACGAAATAAATCATTGCTTTGAATTCCCGCAAAGAAACTTTTTGTTCGAAAAAACACCGGTTTGTTTCAATCGAGTGTTTCTAGGTTCCTTCGACTCTTCCTTAGCTCCTTTCGATGCGCTATCAGAAGGCGATAATCTCGTTTAGTTCCGATGGAGGCACTATGTACGACGGCTGACCAAACAACGATTGCCCAATCAGATTGGGAGCAATCCAGCTTGCAAAGAGCACGACCACCGCAATCGAAAAGACACCAAACAATACAGGTAGATTCACCGCTATATCCTCTTCTGCTTGAGCTTCGATATAAAGTGGATCCATCATTCCGGGGACCGACCTCCAGGGCAATAGGGAGGCCAAACGATCTTCCCAATACTCGTCATCTTGTTTGACCCCGTTTGTGCCGCTGCCCCCGCTTCGTTTCGCCTCGGCACTGTTCAACTCGTTGTAGTATTCGGGCGGTTTGCGGACGGTTTCCAGAAAGAATTGCAAATCCCTTGCGCACAATCGATTCGCCATGACACCACGATTAAGGTCTTGTGCATAGGCCAGATCCTCAACAATTGATCGGATCTTTCTCCGTTTGCTGCTGGTGTCCCCGCTCTCGGTTTGCACAAACTCACAGGTCGAGACTCCCTCGATGCATGCCATAGGGACGCGGAAACATCCGGTGAAAATAGCTCTTGCAAAGAGCCTTCCAACGGCCGAGTAGGAGAAGCGCCGTTCTTCCTCAACCTTATCAGTGTAGGTCGAGAGATCCACGGTCCATCCCGGAACGGACTCTGCCAGGGAAACCATCCATTGCACAGATGGATCAACGTATGTGAGATTCCATCGCACCAGCAGGGTGGTAGGAGATGTGGTTGTAGCCGAAACGGTATCCAGTCGGGGCTGCAATTGCAGTTTCATGCCATTGCCTCCACCATCGTTCAGTATGGTGCGGACGAGTTCGTCATCGACCGCCTCTCTAAAATCCTTCTCCCATCTCTGGACGGAACGCTCGAGTTCTTTGCGACCCCTTATCCTAGTGCCTGTAGCACGTTGAAAGAAAGACACTGAATCATCGTATTCGTATGAGGGGGGAAGAGTGGGAAGCATGGATATAGCCACTGGGCATGTTCTCGTGTTGATTTGGACCAGAGATGGAACACACGAAGAACGACCCAAGTTCGAAGAATGATATTGAACTCCTCGCAGATGAAGATGAGGTTCGCGTTGGAAAGCTGCTCCGTAAAACTGTTGCAATAGTAGCAAAAATGTTATTCGCATTGCTCTCGGTAGCACCACGATCATTGAGGGTGTTTGTCGCATGATGGAAAATGGTGTTGATGATGCATTTAAAAATAATGATAGTGTTGCTCGCTTCCGACAGAAAGTTTCCTTGGTAGACGCAGTACGGTACAGTACTTGTTTGGGTTCGAGTTAAGACTATCGATTCCTAACAGGTTATGAGTACATAAAATGCGCCAGTTTTTTTGCTAACTTTGCTTGCTTGTTAACTTTTTCCCGTCTCCGCCCAAATCGTGCATTTTTTGGAATTTTTTTTGTTTCCATGATTTTCACTTGTGTAGACTGCAGTACAAATCCTACACAACATAAGACTGAAATACCAAAAAGAGTTTTAAACAATTACTTTATGTAAAACACCTTTTCTGCTCATTCATTTCTCTGCTTGTAATATCCAACCAAGAAAATATAAAACAATCTATACCAGAATGTAAACTATAAACCAAACMATCATATTTACCAACATAAAATAATCATATTACTAGTAAGATGGATGATGATGATTCTTTTTCTGGTGGTGTGTGATGGTTGACAGCAATTGTTCGTACTATGTTCATACTCCTAAGAATGATGCAGACCTATCTGACAACAGTGGTGGTGGCCTTCACCCTCATAGTACTAGGAGCCCCTCCCAAGATGACCATGGACCCATATCTGATCATCAAAAAGTATGCTAGGTGTCCCTTGGTATCCTCCTCCCAATGTCCACCAGTATGATACDGCACTTGGAGGAGGTGTGATCACCCCAGGTCACGCCCGTGCTGTAAGCAATTCATTAGATGGCTGCACTAATAAGGTGGAGGAGTTGGAGCGTTTGTTCTTGTTCTTGTTTGATGGAAAAATTCTTCAGATGATAGTAGCAAGAAATGAGTCCAACCGGTATGTGTTTGAAGATTGGGTGACAGAAGTTGAAGCTGCTGATGCTAATGGAAGGGGGTAAAGAAGACAAAGATGCTCAAGCTCTGTGATGTCACCAATCCCAACAAACAAAAGTGTGTTCTACATTCAGTCAAAGACCAATGGAACTTCCCTTCTGGTTACATCCTTGCCTGGCTTGGTATTTGTATCTGCTATGGAGGTTTGGGTGGTTCAAAACAATCTCCCCAAATTCTTCGGACTTGTCTTGAGGATGGTGGAGTGTATGTTCCCATGGTCAGGAATACAATGAACAAGAATAGATGCCACTTTGTTAAATGATATATTCATTTTGGTGACAACAGAAGCAAAGCTAATGATACTGATAACACTCTACAAAATCCATACTGTGATGGAGAAAATTGCTAATTGTCTTTGTCTTGGGTGGCATGCAAATATTGACCTATCTGTTGATAAGTCTACAATTGTTTACAAAGGAAGATGCATTCAATTTGTCCAGTAGTATCTTCCCAAGAAGCCAATCAAATATGGTATTAAGGTGTACTGTGTGCATGATGTTGACACTGGGAACTTAATTGCATTTGAGATCTACACTGGTATTACTAGTAGTGGGTCTACATGGGATACTATTCAGCAGTTGGTATGTCAATCCAATCTTGGACAACAAAATGGTGGTTGTCGACTGTTCACGGACAACTTCTACACTACAATGAAAGTTGTGACCAAGAAAGCTATATGAAGAATACAGATGGGTATCAGATGGTACCTTTGTATTTTCTTCTGGTTGCTTGATAGAGTGGTAGACGCCTGCTACATAATTATCACTAGTAGCCTAGCATGTGACGAGTTTATGAAGAAGGAATAGAAGATATACAAATCAAAACAAGTTTCAATCTCATCTTGGCATTGGTGCATTGATGAATGCTAGAGGTATTGAAATGGACTGGAAAGCTCCATATGATGAAGGTTCTAAGCMAGAGTGGATGCCTCAGACTTCAAAGAATGGAAAATATCACCCTTGCTATTGCGGGATTTGCTCATTCTTCTGTGTGAACAACAAGAAGACGACCACCATTGTTGCTCATGGAAAGGTAATGTCAAAGCCACATAAAGAAAGATGCAGTGGCAAGTATGAAGGAGTAAAGAGGAACTATTGTGTTATCTGTGTAGAAGAAGCAAAGCTTAGGTATCCTAACTCATCAGTGAAGAGATTGAGGAAGTTGCCAGCAGCATCATGGTGGATTAGTAGAAAAGAAATGTCAAGGAATGTTGCTGTATGTAAAGAGCATTGGAGTAACTTCAACCATCAAGTGTAGTGATGTGTTATAAATGAATATATTTATATTTGAAAAAATATATTCTTATAATATTTTTTATAGTGATGAGAGGGGTGTGATAGTAAGTGTAGTAGTAGTAGTGTAGTAGTAGTACTAGTACCAAAAAAAAAAATCCTAAATTTTCCAGGTGGCAACATTTGGCAACACGCGACGGGAAAAAGTTAACTCAAGCAAAAGCACCAATCAGAATTAGAGAATCCATCAATTGGAAAGGGTTTTCCCTCCTCTTTCGATACATGTCCATATTGTATATGCTTCCTGTCAGAGAACCTTTTCGGGCGTGTTGATTTCTCTACGCACCGAAAAATCGAAAAACTCTCATTTAATCAACCTCAACAAAGCAAGCTGTCACTCCTCCAGATCTTTATCAATACCTAACCAATTGCGCTCACAAGACAAGTGTTACAATCCTTACAATAAGGGGAAGAGGACCATAAAGTAGTTGATCAATCGACCGAGTGGTTTAGAAGCAACAGGAGACCTAAGCTACAGTGGAAATATCGATGAAAAACAGCAACGACGAACTCCATAGTGAAACAAAAAAGAAACCATCTTCCCCTCCATAACAGAGACAACCAATGTCCGGAACCTCCTTAACACATCAAAGGAGACTTGATCCGGAAGTATCTTTGCAATTGACCAGGTTTTTTGAAAGAAAAAGCAGTTTTTGCTGTATTTTTGATGTATTTTGTTGGCTGCAAAATGAGCAATAACAACAACAACACCAAGCCAGCGCCCCCCAGAACACCAGCTGTGCTCCCATCACCAGCTGCACTATCAATTTGGTCCATTACCAAGGGATGTGTGGAAATGCGTGCTGAATCAGGAACAGGAGCAGTGGCAGTGGGGTTGGCAATTTGCAACAAAGAACAACAGGAGGGGGACGGAGGAAAAGCAACAGCAGCAACAACAATGAAGACACCAGCATTAAAGGAAACAGTTGCAGTTGGATCAGTAAAATCAGGATGAACGGTTGCAGCTTGTGAAAGGACAACCCTTGCTGCTGAGAACTTGCATGCTGGTTCAAGGTCCAGAGGTCTCCAGTGTTGTGTGAAAAGATCTATGTTATTTGCTCAGTTTAGTGAAGACGAGGAGGCAAACAATAAAGCGTTACAAAGAAGAGTACAGAGGTGCATGGAACAGATGGTTAAGGCCCCTCCTACTTATCTTGAAATGTCCACAAAAAAAAAGAAGCAGAACCAGAATTATCAGCTTTGATATCCTCCAAGGAAGTGGCGTTAATCAACTTGGAAGAGTTAGCAAAGCTATCAGGAATGAAGGTGGAGGAGTTGGAAGCTAAAATAGCAGTTCTCACCAAGTCAGTAAGGAAAGATGATACAATAGAGTCAGCAAGGAAAGATGATACTATAGAGGCAGGCTCACTAGCTCTGCAACTACTTAATGAGGGACCAGATACTCCTAAACAAGCTCATATCAAAACGGTTAACAAGTTTCTTCAGAAACGAGCTCATGATGATGCGTATGAAGTGGCAGCTAAGAAGGTCAGGTACGAGAAGGAAAATTTGCCACCAAAGTCCCGCTCCTCCGTTGTTAGCATCGTGTCTCAAGTGAACTTGCTTTACAATACGTCCTTGAAGGCAAACACAAGGACGATCTTGGGCCTCCCGGCCGGGGGCGGAAAACTTTGTTACCTCCAAAAATCAAAGCGGCAATAGCTGATGCAGTGTCATCATTTTTTGCTCTTGCGTGTGAGGAAAAAGAGACGATTCCCCGACACAAAGGTTTTGTATCCATGTTGAAAGCATGTCTTTTACCGGGCTTCTGCTTGTTGACTGATTTTGTGAGTCTGTACTGATGTTTATTGCCAACCTTTGCAGAACACTTGAAAGTTGCAAACAGCGAAACAAAAATTGAAGAGCGTAGACTGAAGTGGACTACGTACAATAACATTAATACTTGGTTTAACACACTAAAGGACACTCTTGTCGCAAATGGATTTGCCAGAATGAAAAGAGACGATGAAATTGTGGAAGGTGAACTGGTGTTTTTCCCTGGTCAACTAAATCAAATTATCAATTTGGATGAATCAGGGTTGACACTTGATGGGAATGGGAGTCAAGCTGGAGGAAGGCCGTCAACAGCGTATGAATCTGCTGATAAATATGTTGGATGTGGAGCTGACAGGATAAACAAAAGCAGTTCACAAATCACTTTGGCTGCAGGGAGCAATGCCGCCGGATTTCCTTTACCGCCTCACTTCCAATTGAAATCAAATGCCACTGAAGAAGAGAAGAAACGAATTCATGAATTATTTGTCAAGGGAAGTATGGTGGTGACTGTATCACAAGCAATGGAGCGACGGTGAACTGTAATGCGAATGCAGGAATGGACAGGGAAGAGTTCGAAAAGTATGTAATGGATGCGATTGTTAAGCTTTATCCTGATGCATCGAATGTCCCAGGGAGACAAGTGATGTTGATTGTTGATAGCGGGCCTGGAAGAAACAACAAAGCATTATTAGCAAGCCTTCTTGCAGCCCGTGGATTTCTGCTTCATCCTGGAGTACCAAATACAACGCATGTCACCCAGCCAATGGATTGCAATTATGGTTATTTCAAAACCTTGTACAGAAATAATCTTGAAAAACTCGCCCACTACCGACACATGAACAACAATAATCTTTGGCAGTCAGATTATCCCCTCTTAGTTTTCGGGAAGCGAGATGGGTGGAATGAAAAGGTCACTTTAGATTTTGCTTCCGATGAAGCCTTTTCCATAGACCGATGCAAAGATGTATGGCAAACTACTGGGATTTCACCTTTCACTCGCAATTGCCTTCAGGATGAAAAAGTTCAACACGAACTGATTCTTTTGCCAGACGGCTCCATTGATTTATCAACGGATCCAAACGTGGCCGCACTGGTAGCACACAAAAAAAAGAATTCCGCAGCAAT